TCGGATTTACACCAATTTGAATTGATAAAGAACTGGTATACTGTTCAGCCCAACGAAACTAAAACATTTGATTTCACCCAGAAAAGTAAACTTCGGCACATACACTCTCACCAATTGAATTTGCACCAGATTTTTGTACAAATTCATGGCTGGACATTGATTGGACCAATTTCAGTAGACAAAGTTGGAATGTTTTTCCGTACCACAAAGTTAGATTCGCAGTTCTCCACGAAAAGCAGGATAGTCTTCGATATATCTTTGATTGGCTCCGCTCAGAAGCTGATAAAGGTAAAGTCCTCTTTGGGGGTTATAAACAAGTTGGATCGCAATGTATTCCTGAAAATGTCTTTGAAAAGCACTCATAGTGACGGACTGAGCGCAATCAGTGTAATTAAGCCCAACGAGGAACTATCTTTGCCACTGAAATTTATTGATGCATCATTGCATGTAGCGCACAATACAAGTGACAACGAGGCTTACGAAGACACTGGTTTTAGTAATGAGGAAATTGTGTGGAAATATTTAGGCAAAGAAGATTCCAAACAACTTCTCCTTGGTTATGACAATACCAAGAGTATGGTGTACACTTTAGCAAACGTTAGCAGGGAAATTCATCACCCCAAGGAACAGAATTTACCGGGTCACAAAATCACTTTATTGCCGCCATTGAAGATAAACAATATGCTCTGCTGTGACCTGATGTTCAAGATTCATGACCAGGCCAGCGGAAGAATTAACTCATCGGAGAGTACAAATATTTACAACGTTAACATCTATCAACCCCTCAATTTAAGTATCACTCTGGATAACTTTCAACTTTCTGGACAACTCAAAATTCCCGTGAGCCATACGGGTGTTGTTGAGCCGAAATTGAAATTGTTTGACATCCAAAAGCGGGAATTACACCTTCGCGTATCCATTCAATCTTTTAAAGGCAAGGGAATGGAAATTTATATAAGTGCACCTGTTTGGATCATCAACAAAACGGGTCTTCCTCTGATTTATAGACAAGAGGGAGCCAGTAATACTGCGGCAGGGCAATTTGAGGAGCATGAAACGGCGCGACAAGTGGCACCTCTAATGTTTTCATTCTCCGATCAGGAAGGATCCCCGGCTCTTGAGTTACGATTGGGCAACGCCTATGGCTCTAATAATTTGGTATGTTCAACTATAATTTCAAATGATTAAGTTTTAATATTTTATTATGTATTTTCAGTGGTGCAAAAGTTTTAGCACGCATAAAGATTTAACACACAGGGAATTACGAGCAGTGAACACAATGGGAAGCTATGCAATTGGTATAGGCGTTAGAAGGGGAAGGGGCTTATACGCTTGCACGACCTTCGTAACCTTATCATCCAGATTCCATCTGCACAATCAAAGTGGCTACAAACTGGAGTTTATGCAACTTTGCGATATTGTCAATTATGTGAGTTACAGTATACACATTTAAGTCAATGTTAAGCTAAAACGTTTTATTATTATTTCAGGACCGTCCCGATCCGCGTAAAATAATTTCAGCTCCAATTGATTGCAATTTTGCTTTTCATTGGCCCAACTGGGATCAAGAGCAGTTCATATGCGTCCGAATTCCGGAGATAGAGTGCTGCTGTTGGTCGAAGGGCATTCCCATAAATGAGGTGAAAAGTTTGTATATCAATGTGCGAAATGAATGGGGCGATATGTTTTTCCTTCGATTGGAGATCATCTCTAAAAATGCAACATTTATACTCTTATTTACGGACGCCCGAACTCTACCACCACCGATTCGAATTGATAATTGTTCGGAAGTTGTCATTAATTTCTCACAGATTCGATCAAAGCCGGTTTGGATTACGCCAGTTCGACCGCAATCCTCCCTGTCTTATGTTATGGATGATCCCTCGGGAGTTCAGTCTTTGCTGATGGAGGCTCCTGGAGGAAATATGATTGAGTTTCCGATCAACAACAAGGATAACATAAAAAAAACATTGACGTACACCAACTTTATTTACATCGCTTTTCATGGAACTTTTGAGCGATCGAGTGGTGAGGATAGCCCGCACAGACATTTGGTTTTGGGCGTACGTGGTAGAAGAGTAGTGATAATGGAAAAGAATTCGGGCGATCGATCCCAGTTGTGGCTCATGAACTCAAATGGTCAATTAGAGCATGAGGGTTCCACTCCACCGATTCAAACAAATGATGCGAATGCAGTGCGACTTGTACTGGACTTAGAAAAAGCTCCAAATCCCATGGAGTTTACAAGTTTGGTGGTTCGAACACCCAATAAGCAAAGGTCCACCACTCAGAAATGGAGATTCGAAAATGGCCGATTAATGTGTCATGCGAATATGTGCGTTCAGGTGAGTGATACTTTTAACACGTATTTAATGCTTTTTTATTACAATTTTTATTTTTATTTCAGTCCCGATTCGGAGAAAGCGGTCTGAAACCCAACTATGAAGCAGTTGTTGGGCGGATTGAAAATAAATCGAATAAGCAATCCATACCGATTGGACAGCATATTGTGGCGCAAAAATTAAGGCCTGGATCGGGTCAACTGGAGCTTTCAACGAGAATGGATGGACCCATTTCCACAATCGAAATATGTGATATTAAAGTTAAACAAAATGCAGTATTCCTTACACCAGATTTGTTATGGATGCATGCTTCTCTAAATAATAGGCAAATTACGGATAAGGGAAAAGTATCATTTGCGCATGAGTATCTGGTAAGAAAGCATATGCAACTATTTGAAGCCTTTGAAAAAAAAATTTTATCTTTTATCTTTTCTTTCAGATAAAAATTGAGCTCGTTAAGGGAATCGGTATTTCCATAATAACCCGAAAGCCTTGTGAGGAAATAATGTTTATAAGCCTCGATCACATACATTGTGATATAGTGCAAAGTGCGTTGGAGAATTCTTTAGATCTAAACATTTCGTATATTCAAATCGATAATCAATTGTTGGATGCGGCAAGTTCAATTGCATTAAACACGCAAACTTCGAGTGACCAAGATCAACGCAAAAATGCAGTTGTTCTCAAATTGAAGATGTTGCCTTGTCCAAACAAGAACGCAATCATTTTTAAGTACTTAACACTGGATTTAAAACCTTTAACTGCAAATCTTGAGGAGAAGCTTATACTAAAAGTTGCCTCATTTCTGGGATATGGCAAAATCAACCGCCAGAATTTAAGTGTACAATACCAATTCGACAACTTTGAGGAGAAGCCCATTCTGCAGGATATGAAGAGATACTATTTTGAGGAGTTGAGTATTGGCGCAACACAGGTAAATTTGCTATCTTAAAAATGAAATGAAATGATCTCATAATAACGCAATGTTTTCCTACAGGTTCGACTTTCAGCGTTTACTTCTTCTAAGTTACCGGTGGAATTACACGAAACGAAAAAAGCACTTGGACTCACTTTAATTAAATTCGAGGATGCCGTGATTGAGCTTGACAGGTATTCTGATAAATTCCACTTTGAGACAATGGACGTGTATCTGAAGGAAATGAAAAAGCACTACATCATTCAAGTCAAATGGCATGCGGCTGCCATTTTGGGCAGCGTCGATTTTCTTGGAAATCCAATGGGATTCGCAAACGACCTTTCTGAAGGAGTATCTGGACTGATTTTTGAGGGCTCTGTCAAGAGTCTGGTGAAAAATGTTACGCATGGCATATCGAATTCGACGGCAAAGCTGACAGAAACGTTATCCGACAGCCTGGGAAAAGTTGTGCTGGATGATCACGATAATGAGACTAGGCAAAGAATTCTGGAACTCCAGTCCAAAACGTCCGGTGGTCACCTTGCAGCGGGTCTAAAAGGTCTCGGATTTGGACTGCTGGGAGGAGTAACAAGTATAGTTAGACACACCTATGATGGTGCCCAATCGGATGGCGTTCCTGGCTTCCTTAGTGGCCTGGGAAAAGGTTTGGTGGGCACTGTTACGAAACCCATAATTGGAGTGCTGGACTTGGCCTCAGAAACAGCAAGTGCGGTTCGGGAAACCAGCCGTGCTACACACAGAAATCCTCTTTACAGGAAGAGACTTCCCAGATGTGTGACCGGTGCTCCTGGCGGTCTTTTACCATTATATTCCAATATTCAAAGCAAAGGACAACAATATCTATACCTCATCAATCATAAAAATTTTTCGGAAAAGATCATTTCCTACGAAGCAAATCTGTGGCGAGATAAACAAGAGAGAGTGCGCTTGTTAGTTTCCACCGAATATGTAAGAATATTTTCATTTATCGACGGCAACCCAACCATTATGTTTGAGAGTCATGTTAGTGAGATACTTTCGTGCCATCCTGTGGTAACGCATGTAGGCACAACGCCTTCTACGAGTAGTAGGGCGACAGCGAGTCACTGGATTGAAATATCAACAAACCTCCCGAAAATTACCAGACCGAGGATACGGTGTCGATCTGAGGAATGTGCTGAGGCTGCATCAAGATGCGTAAGTGGATTCTATAAAAAAATTGAATTGTTTATATTTAAATTTTAAAAATGTAGTTTTGCATATAACTTTATTTACTTTTATAAATTTTGAAATGATTATCACATATATTCCATATTTGTTTCTTTTAGATAAACTACGCTAAAAGTGTCTTTGATGAACGTGAACATACCATTTTATAAAATGCAATAAGTCGGTTCGTGATAATAAACATACACCTTTTGACAACAAAGTTTAAATTTGATTTTCTTTGGCAATAAGTGTTTTATTATTTTCAAAGTAGTAAGCAAAGCATACATTAAAGAATATATAAACCAATAAACTTATGAATGCAGGGTAAAAGGTCATTTCCAAAAAAACTGGTTCAATAAAAACCAAAGATCCAAAGGCGATCAAAATGGAATCATCACTCAAATAATTTTACGGAAGCATTGAAGCAGATGAAATGACTGTAGTGTAAAATTGTGTAAATATATTATTTGTCATGACGTGCAATAATAAAAAAATAATGTTTCTAAAGTTAGTAACATTTATAAATATAATATTTAATAATCGGCATTTTTGTAATGCTCTTTCCGAAACGATGAGAGTTTTAGTCGCTGCATTTGGAGAGCTTGTTCGGTTTCGAGTACTTTTACATGGATTTCCATTTCCATCGTCTTAATTTGTGATGGCGTTAGCTTCGAAAGTTCTAATTCACTCTGCTGTTCCAGTTGAGAATTGCAATCCTTAACGGTGGCAACAAGAGTTCCAGTTGCCTGTGTTACGCTTCGCGAGGCCTTTGTTAGGTCCGATAACTTTTGACTATTCCGTTCAGCCTTGACTTTGCTCGCTATAACCATTTGAGTTGTGCAAGCGGCTATTTCTTGGGCCGCCACTATGAGTTCAAAGTTTTTACCAGACTCACTTTCAATCGCTTTGTTTGCTGCTTCCACCAGATAATTAGCTGCCTTTGCCACACTTTTCGAAGCGGATATTAAACCATCCGACCACTGGCTATTTCGCCTATAGAAGTCGTTGGCAGTTGCATTTCCTGAAATAATAAAAAATTATTAGTCACATTTTTTTGGTTTTCATAATTTGTAGCTACCTTTTTGGGACGCAACAATCTCGTGTTGTAGAAGACGAGACTTTTGGATTAAAGCTTTGACACATTCCATTAACGTGGTACACGCGTCCACAATTTTTCCGTTCACCTCCAAATTGGTTTGGTTGTCCTTTTCTCGAGCCTTAGCAAGTAAATCTGTGATTTTAGACGCCGCGTCATCAATTGCTGCATCCATTTCGCGAAGCTCTATTTCAAGAAGCTTGTCCAAATCTATTTTCTGGTCGAAGGTGGCCTTTATTTTCTCAATTAGTTTTCGCACATCTGTTAGCTTTAATTGGATGTTAGATGTGATTGTTTGCCTTTCGTGGTCTCTCGTTTCATTATTTAATATATATTGGAACAATTGGCAGACATCTGAACATATTAAAGATGTTTTCGTGAATATTTCTAGAAATAAAATTTAAATATTATTTTATAGTAGTTTTTGTTTTTAATATTTTCATAAACTTACCTTGACCCATTTCGATTGCAGTGGTTGTCTTGTAAATAACATCGCACTGATCGTATAATTTTATAAATACATAACCCAGATACATAACATCTTGCATGCCTTCTTTTGAAGCAACAAAGTTTGTTGTGGAAGAGTTGCTAAATTTATTTAGAAGGGTTTCCATTTCACTTATTATGTTTGGCACCGCATCCAAAGGTTGTTGTTCTGATCCGCTTAATTTTGAGTTGCAGATTTCCTTCACGGTTCTGATTACCAATATTCTGAGTTCGCTTAAATCTGAATTACAAGTTTGGTATGAACTTGTTACAGAATCAATTTGCTGCGTTGCTTGGGATAGTTTATCCTCGGTAATCGTGAGTTTGCTTTGCAAGTCCTCGTTAAGTTGACTTACTGAAATATTGTCCTGCCTTAGTTGATTTACAATTTCCTGCGATTTCTGTAGAGCTGACTCATTTTGCTGCAAATTATTGATGGTTTGCTGCAATTGAGCGTTTTGGGCATCGCTGTTGTTTTTATGTTCCACATTTAACTGTTCGATTTTAGTTAAGAGCAATGCCTTTTCCGCTTCGAAAGCTTTCAAATTGTTTTCAATTTCTACAGTCTTTATACTAATTTGGCTTTCGGCGGAGGATAGCTTATTCTTCGTGTCATTAAAATCTTTATCCTTCTGCTCCAAGTTATTTATCGTTTGCTGCAATTGGGCGTTCTGAGCATCAGTATTGTTTTTATTTTCTACATTTTGTTGCTCAATCTTAGTTAAAAGCACGGATTTTTCTGCTTCAAAAGTCTTCAGTATATTTTCGATTTCTCTGCACTTTTCGTTTATTTGGCTTTCCGCGTTTGACAGTTTTTCCTTAGTTTCATTGAGAGTTACATTAAGGTCATCGATTTGTAAGCAATTTAACCGCAAGTTTTCAGAGGTTGAAGTAATATCTAGTTCTTGAATTTCTTTTTGTCGAACAACGTCGTCGAATTTCTCCTTTATTTCGGTTTTTAATGCTTCAAGCTGAGATAATTTCTCCTTGTGCTCTTCTATTTGTTTTTGCAGAGTTAAATTAACTTTCTCTTTTTCCTCAACGTTTCCTTTGATTTTGGAAATCTCGTTGGTAAGTTCTTTTGTTTCTAACAAAAGCTGTGAGTTAACTTGTTTCTCTTTATTTAAGGATTTATTACAATCACTTTGCTGAAAAAAATGGATATTAAAATTAGAAAACTTTATTCATAAACTTATCTTTTACCTCTCTTAATAATTGAATGTGCTCATCACGAATTTTAGTGTAAAGGGTTTTAAGCTTATTGAACTTTTCCGAGGATAATTTATGCTTTTCTTCTTCCTCCATAGCTTTTTCTGAAAAAAGAAAATATTTTGATTGGCTATATATGATATATGACATTTAACTTACGCAGAAGGACTGGGTTTTGGTTAATTTGCATCTCAAGATCGTCGTTTTGCATACGGAAGGTGGCGCACATTTCTCTCGCCAGTACCAGATCATTTGATAAGACAGTATTGTTTTGTTGGAGCTCCTGAACGTCGTGTCTATAACTCTGTTGCAGTTCATCGAAATTTTTTTGTAGGGCAACCAATTTGAATGACAGTTCCTCAATGCCAGCCTCTTTCTCACTTATTATGCCCTCCAACATACTTAATTGCTGTTGGGCCTGACTAAAGGCTTCTGATTCGTGATTGTTAGTATCCACTAGGTCCTCAACAACCGGATCGGGCTCCTGCGGAACATGGACTACTGGTGGAACATAGCTCGTAAAATCGTTTTGGGATTTAAAGTTTGGGCTTGAGTCCGGCAATTCCGGGACTGTTATTAAATCCTTGAAATACTGAAGCGGTCGAACGTTGTTATAAAAACTCTTCAACTTTAGAAACAAACCATGAAACCGATCTCTGTGACCGGAAACAACATCATACGGTACGCCATCGTGTAGTTTAAACATAAGCCGAACGCTTAAATCATAAAGAGAATTTGAATCCTGGATAAGACAAACTATTGGCGCTAGTCGACATTGCCCTTGTGGCGTCATCGACGACATTCTATATTTTTCCATAGAAGAAAAGATTGTCAATTGCAGGGCAATTATATCCTCCAAGTAGTCGAAAATTTCCACACACAACTGAAAGCTGGAATTATAAATCTTATGTAAATAATTTAAAAATAGTACATTTCCAAAGCCCGTCTTACCAGTAATTTAAATCCCGGTCGACAGCAATGAAGAGTTCAGTAAAAGAAATGTTCAGTGTTCCGGGAAACATTCTATTTTTGTTGTGGAAATCTAATTTGGTGGCCAGGAGCTTACTATACGCCTGTATACAGCATCCGATATCGTCTTGGAGGAGGCCCCACATTTTCCCCACCTCCAGAATCATTTTCTTGTGGCTCTGCGAGTGCCTTATAGAACTTTCATGGGCCTCTCGCAGGACCTTGTGTAGGAGATGCGAAAACTTCCAAGCGGTAAATCTGTTCTGCATCAAAGGTTGCCTGGAGATGATCATCCAGAATGTTTTGGCCTCCTTGGCCTTGTGGATCATAATAATAATGGAGCGGGCATGTTTGGTTTTAAGTGGCGCTTCCAGGCCATTTAAAGCTTTAGATACGCTGACGTTCTAAAATGACAATTTAAGATATAGTAATTAATTATTGAATTGACTCAAAAGAATAAAATATTCATTTTATTGCTGATAAAAAAGCTCATTAGGTCTTGTGAGAATTATCTTTAAAACGTGCTGATTTTCTTTCATTCAATGAAATGAGAGGAAATGACTGACTCAGAAGATATGGTCGGTTTTGGCACCAGATAACTTAAATATTTTAATTGGAATTTTCTGCTAAAAAAAAAGTGAGTCATTATAGTTCGACTTTTGCGCGAGGAATTAAAGTTTGTTGGCTATTTAATGGGATTTCTGATCCATGGAAAATATGATGATAGGCAATATGGTTTGTTTAATAATCTGTAATCTTAATTTATTCATTATAAAGATTAAAAAAGAGTCTGGTTTCACATCTTATCTTGTTAATACTAATGAAAAGCTATTCCTATCGCATGTTATTATAACGAATTTAAAGTCGGTAATCACAAAATTTGAGAGGTCTTTGTCTGCAGATTCAATTATTAACAAAAGTTGAAGTGGTTCACATAGCATTCACTGCATTTTCTAGTTTTCTGGGTCACCGCGAGCAAAGGAGAAACTTGGAATTAGCATGTGTAGTGTTTCTATGATGTTGCAAATCGTGCGAAATGAAGTGATATTTGGAGCTTATCTGTACAATCTGGTTCAAGGCTGACTTCTGGTTTAAATTAAAATGGTAATGCAAATTTAAAGGCGCGAATGTCTGTATTCATGTGTATACAAATTTGCAAATGTATAAGCACATTCCTCTGCTTATTTACACTATGCACATATGACAACACCCGCATTTCAAAGTATCCAATTTGTGTGTGTATAAACTGGTAAAGATTTTAGATCCTCAGGTGTACGTACCAAATGGTAGAATTCCTTCTCTGCGTGAGTTGCCATTGTTTACTGACAATTCTTAGCGTAGTTTACTGAACAAATTCGAATCATTCGCACCGCGATATATGTGCATTAGAGCAGCAAAGACATTGAGAACGGGAGTTATCTTATCTTATCAACAATGTTGCCCATTGTTTTCGTATTGAGTACATTCATATCCATTCGGAACTTCGTGTGCGTGTATATTCACATATGTTTAAGTGTAAGTTAAAATTAGTCATATAAACAAATGTTGTTTTCGTTTATCGATACAACTTTATAGAGCTGGTCAATCATGCCACGACAGTATCGATAGAACAGAATTAATAATATCGTGCATGGGCTTTTAACAATCGATGATTTTGATTTTGCGGTAGTTTATATCACATCACTACTTTTGGCGCCAAAAATTTGAAAGCTTATTTTCTTTGTTTAATTTTTGAAAAACCCTATTATTTTGTTGTAATTAAGCAAAAATAAGACCGACTACCAAAAATTAATCTTTCTTGCAGCTGAGGACTATTCAACAAGATATGGCATTCCATCATTTAACTATCATTTCTTAGTGTTTAGATAAGATAATCGAAAATCGAATAGCCTTTTTCAAGATTTTAGCTACTTTGCTATCCGAATACTAATTAAATACAGTTTACTAGAAATATTTCAAAAAGTATTCGTTTATTTTAATTTTGTGATTAAATATGGTATTCCGATTGATGATTGTCATCCAATTTTACATTTTGCTGTGGGTAGAACATGGTATGCTGATTTTGTAGCTGGTCTTGAATTAAAGAACGATTTGGGTCTGGAACAGACCCCATTACCAGCTGCTGTGGAAGTTGATTGCTAAGTGGGGATCCTGGATGTCTGAGAAAAGATTGCTGTTGCGCCTGCAATGCGTAAAGATATTCCGACCTCATGGATGGCGGTTGGAAGTTCGAATCCATGCGAGTTATTTTGTACTTGTTAACGGTCTGATCATAGAATCCCTCCGGAAGCATATTTATATTCTCTTTCAATGATTGAGGGCAGTAGAAAGAATTGTGAGGATTAAAAGGGTAAACAGGCTCCTGAAACTGGCGATGTAGACAATTTGTTGTCTGATGAGGATCCATCATTTGAATTGGAGGCTGCTGAAGCGGGGCTTGCATAACTTGTGAGGAAGCTGAAGATGTTGTCCATTGATCCCGTGGATCTATAAAGTTTTTCGGGTGATATGGGGGCTGTGATACCATAAATCCTTGCTGCAAACCTGGGGGAATCCCTGTATATTGATGGGGACAGAAGGTACAGGGAGGTCTTCCGCAGGCTTGGAGCAGGTTTTCCCTGTTACAGGGTGTTCTTGTTGCCATAAGAAAGGTTTTCCCGATTCCCAAATCGTTGTCGTTGATCCTGGCACTTTCAGTATTGCTGAGCTTTCGAGGTTGCATTAGGGTCACCGTTTCCAGTGTTTCCACGTCTGTTGATCTCATCGTTTCATTTGAGCGTGCAATAGTTTTTTTAGCACTAGAATCACCCAAGGGAACTACGTTTTGGAATTCATTTGGTTGGGTTGGGGTATAACCACCTGCCTGAGAAATAGCCGGACTTCGAACTCTTTTCCATTTCAGATGACTATCTTTGTTGTTTGGATTATATCTAAAATCGAATTGGCCATACATAGTATGGGACTCTTCGTTTCTGGGATTTTTACTTCTTTCTCCATGATATGTATCTGGTTTGCCTTGAGGTTGAAATCCTGAAGCCTTTTGAACTTTTTGAAACCCTTGATGTACCATGTAAGATGGTTTTCCTTGGAACTTAGATCTACCATTACTTTCCAGTGATGTATTAGATCCTGGATAATTGGATTGTTTTACATACCGAGGATTCTTTTTCCCTTCTCCAACACTAAATTTTGTGACAAAAGAATGCTGTCTAGAATTTTGATCATATTTTTCATGAGACTGGCTACAAGAATTATTCTGTTCAAATGTTCGATCACTGATTTTCGATGTCGTGTTTGGTCTAACAGATCTTCGGAAAACTATGACACAATCATTACCTTGGCTTTGAGACATTTTGGCCTTTGGAATCTTCCAAATCACTTTGCGCATTTTTGTATTCTTGGTACGTTTCGAATTCTATCAATAATTGCGATAAAAACTTAACTACATGAATTGGTCAATAAACTGGTGAGCACAACTTACCTTCCGAGCTAAATTGGTATCTCGGCTGTTAGTACTTAACAATTGGGAACTCGAAAAAACAAGTTTATCATTTACAAATTCTTTTTGATGTGCTATTCCGGGTTGACCATGAACATCTTGGCATGGTAACGCATTCTGTGAATGAACCCGACATGTTTTTGGTGCCATTTGTAATTGATTGGGCATAAGTAAAGTTAATTTTGCCTTTAGCTCTCTCCTGAAAAGTAAAATAGCCGAGAAAAGTATTTAAGTAGAAGTTATTTCTTACCATTTATCCCCATCATTCGTGCGAATCGGAATCACAGCCGGTGGTGGATTTTGTCTGGGATGATGAATTTTAAATTAGATATTAGAATTATCTTATAAATTATTTCCTCGCATAAAAAATACATATTACCTTATTTGATCCTGCTGTGAAATCTTTAAATCATCTGGCCGCTGATTCTTACTTGGTGTAAAGGGTAATTTTTGTCTTTGAACAGGATTGCAGTATTCGTCTTCCACCCTTAGTTGATTTACGATATCGGCATTTATACTATAATCCGGGGTTTGGCATCCACGACAGCATTCGGCATTTATACTATAATCCGGGGTTTGGCATCCACGACAGCTCGTCATTGAAGTATCTTGACCTCCCTTTTCCATTCTGTAGTGGCTTACGTAGTTATAGTGCCCTTCCTCTGATTCGCTCTCGCAAGTTTCGTCCTGTAGAACAAGTACGTTTTCGGAACATTTGGGACTTTCTGTGCAATTTTGTTTTCTATATACAAATTCTGGAATTTCTGGGAGCTGACAAAGGTTTGATTCAATTCCGCTTATATTTTTCCTTTGATTAGGGGCTGATTGTGAGCGTGGCTTATTGAAATATATCACTTGATCTGTAGGAGAATTCTGAGGATGTGGCCCATTTTTTGTTTCTTGGTCAGCAATACTATTTTTAATCATATCACAAATAGCACAAATTATTTCTAATTGATCTTTACCATTTTCACTTATCTGGCCATAAGAAATATTCTCTCCATTGCTTGAATAGCTTTCTAAGGATTTGGTTTTATCTGAATTTTTACTGCTGCTACTGCCACTCGAACTTTCATTAATATCAGTGATCGCTTGGTCTGTTTTAAATGAATCTGACGAACTACCCTGTTTAATATGCTGTTTAATTGAATTATTACTCATGTTCAGTTTTTCGTTTCCATGTAATTTTTTCTGTTCAGAGTTTCTCTCACAAACTAACTGTTCCGAGTTTTTACTGTTATCACGTTCTCTTTCATAAATTTCACAGCTATTTTGTTCTGATTTTAAAGCTCTTGACGAATTAAGCTGGGTTTCCTCGGACATTTTATTAATTTTACATCCTCTTTTAAAATTAGTTAATCCTTTTGAAATAACTGTCCCACCAGAGGTTATACGATTACTGTGTTGTTCAATTTGTTTATTTCTAATTCGACCTCTACTTGTTTCTTTATTCCTTGTTTTTATACCAATAAGATCGTTCGCTTTAGATGATTTAACTGATTTCGAACCATGTTTTAGAATACTAGAGCTTATATTTTCAGAACTCTTACGATATATTTTTATAGATAATTTCTTGGTTTCGCTACTGCTTATATTTTGTTGTATTTTTTGAGATAATTCCTTTGAACATTGAGACTTGGATGACCGAGGAGATTCTTCAGGGTTATACATCCTATCACTAGGATTAATAGGTAAAACTGATTTATCTGATGCCTTATAAGAACTTTTTGTGCTTTTCAAGGATCTCTCCATATAGTCGCAGTTACTACTTGCCATAGTGGAAGTATTTGGATTATCACTGTCGCATTGAGGATATTCGTTACAGGGAAGTGAAATTGGTTCTTGATTACTTCTTGAATTGGTTCCTATTTGGCTACCAATTTCTGATTTTAATTTTGTTACTTGAACAGAACTTCCAGATCTGGATGTAATATCAACGGCTGTATCATTAGACATTCGATTTTGCATATGGTAATATTGCCAACATGATTGATAGCATTGGTGACGCCTAGAATATTGCCATCTTGGCATAAAATATCCGTACTTAAAGTGAGGTTGGCATATCGACCCTGACATCATTGATACTAATGCGGGATTATTTATTAAATCTTTTTCTTTCTCGGCATCTTTGGATTTCTGTAAGTCCCCATTCTGCATTGGTTTGTCAGATTTTGAGTTTTTTCCAACAAAACTTTTTCCATGAGATTTTTTTTGGGATACTATGCTTAGTATAGATGACTCTGGGCCCGATTTTGACAGCATTTTAGATAGGTTATTTTCCTTCTTTCTGATTATTATGGTCTCTGGAAGAGGTTGCAGTAATGTATTTTTTGATGAATTTTTCTGGGAACTTGCTGATGATATATTAACTAATTTCGGTTGCTCTGCTGTTTCGATTTTTTCATCTAGGAGTGATTTAATTGAGGGAGATGTCTTTATTATTTGCACATCCGTTTCATTTTTTGGCTTTAGAATACTTCTCACATTTGTAGACTTTTCTGCAAAACAACGAATAATGTTCTTGTCCTCTGCATCAGCAGATTTGGTAGCAAGTTGATTTCTGATTTGTTCAAGGCAGCAAAGTACGGGATCCGATTCTTCTTCAATCGTTTGAGTGGATGTCTCGCAAGGACATGGTTTCTTTCCTCGTTTGAGTCCCTTCTTCTTTGTGTATGATATCGGCTTGGATATCGACAGATTAGATTCTGGAATTGGCGGTGGAAGTGAACGATGCATTAAGAATTCAGCAGGCCAAGGCATTTCAATGGTTTTATCCTGCTGAAACTTTACTGCCGGAACAAGGGCTTTGAATATCTGTGGATTGCTTTTTCCGGGATATGACTGGAACATATTTTTCACACTAATAGGAAATGGAATATTAACTCGAAAAGGTAAATTGCACTCGAACCTGATAGAGTTCATAGTTGGGTTAAAAGAATAATTGTGGCTGCCTTCACAACTTACCAAATGCCATCATCTTCATCGTCTCCTGCTGTTGATCTTGTAGGCATCTTCTTACCTTTTGGTTTTTTACGTTTTGTCTTGGGCTTTACCTTTACAATAGCTTTCTGATTCTGCTCTATTTCTGGAGTTGACTTGGGAGTTGTTCGGTTCTTTTTATTTGCTTCTGAAGGGGTTCTATTCTTCTGTGCTACCTTGGTTGGGTATAACATCATTGTTGATCTGGCACAGCACTTTGAGTTTTTGGCAGCCAACAGTTCTTTTTCCTCAGTTGTAGAACATATACACGATCCCTAAAAAGTAAATGAAATAAAATAAAGTGTATAAGACTTTTAACACTCTACCTTATATCTTTGATTTCCTTGACTTGTCAAAGAGTTACTAATATAACATTTTTTGTTCAGGCTGGTTTGTATTGGGCTCGCTTTAGACGCCTTTTTACCTATGAATATTATATTATATTATATTATTTTTTTGAGCTGATGTTTAACCTGTAATAGATGTTCGAGGAGTAACTTTTCCAAATGAAGAAGTTTTCAGGCATTCAGAGTTATTTTTGCTGCCATTCCTTGTGGTCTTCTGGGGAAGTGGACACTTTAATAAACAGTTCAATGGACATGGCCCGCATTCTTCTCGCTCAGACTCCTTCGAATTCTGCTGCTTATCTGTGTCAACCATTATCTTTGATTTACTCCCATAACTTAGCAAAGGTTTATCCCTTTTACAAAAGCAAGGATGCATTTTCTGGCGACAGCATGGATAGTGGTATCTCTGCAGACTGCCGTACACTTGATTTAAATTACACATTCTTGGATTAAAATAACTTCAGAAGAGATATATTTTCTTCCCACGATATCGTTAATACAAAAATCTGTAATTTGAACGAAATGGGGCGTGCAGCTTTGATTCTTAGCTCTTCGTTAAATGCCTGAAAGCTGGGAAAATTTTGAATTTTAAATCTATATCTTCGAATTCTAAAAGTTGACAAAAAACTCAAATTATAAGCATTAAAATTGAAACTTTATTCGTCTTGGACTCTTCAATTGGCCTCAATTTTAAACGGAAGAATTGCACAATTAAATACTTTTTGAGACCTCCGATCGTAGGATATCTTACCTTAAAGGGACATTAATTTTGACGGTTTAAGGTAAGTTACGCTACGAATTTTGGAGGGTTCAAATTTTCAGCGAGGCCAACATCGCGGCATCATGAATCGCATTTGGGCATAACGCTGGCAACAACAACTGGGACAACATTGTGGGGCAAAAGGACACTTATTCAGCTGGGATGATTGGCCAGATTGCTGCTGTTGTTGCTGGAAGGATAATCGTTGTGGTTTCTGCTGACAAGGAGGTGGATTTTGTGGCGGGAACGAAGGTGCTCTACATTGCTGCTGACAAGGAGCCATTTGTTGACTCGGCTGGCAAGGAGATACTTGATATTGCTGCTGACAAGGAGATACTTGATATTGCTGCTGACAAGGAGATATTAGTAGATTCTGCTGACAAGGACCCATTTGTGCACTCTGCTGACAAGGAGCCATTTCTTGATTCTGCTGACAAGGAGCCATTTGTTGATTCTGTTGACAAAGACCCATATGTTGACTCTGCTGACAAGGACTCATTTGTTGGGGCATGAAAGACGGCGGCTGTTGCTGTTGACAAGGAAATTGCTGAGCTTCTGTCTGAATGTAGGTATTTTGATTTGGCATTGGTACGGGCACAGGATATAAGCCTAGTGGAATGTCTTCCTGGGATGTCTGAGCCACCGAGGGCATGGGCCACGACTTGCTGGTTGGATAGGAAAAGCTGGGAGGATATAGTGGCTCTGGCTGCGTGGAAAAACGTTGGATACTTTGTGCATCCGTTTCACCGGTTTCATTAATTTCCTCTGGAAAAGCATCATCCTCATCCAGTCCATCCTCTGGTGGACCTAAGAACTGAGTTTCTGGCGCCCAACCAGGATCGTCGGCGGCATTCTGGGTGAGCACATGCATCTGTCGCACTCTGGTGGCTCCACAAGCACTGTTCAGCTGGAGTTGCACCTGGGCAATCTGGGCCTGTGCCTCCAGCATCTGTTTTTTAAGCTCCTCGGCCAGCATTTCGGTCAGGCAATAGTTGTCCTCCTCAATGGGTTGCTGTTGCACTGGTTGTTGTTGCTGTTGCTCTTGGGGAAGAATTGGTTGTTGCATGGACTGTGGTTGTATGGACTGTGGTCGTATGGACTGTTGTTGCATGGACTGTTGTTGCACGGACTGTTGTTGCATGGACTGTTTCCGCACTGACCTTTGTGGATTGTAAGCAGCCAAGTTGCTAGGCCGATTCTTTTCCTGACGCTTGACAGATGTTCTTGGCTTCACTTGCGGATTGGGAAAGGATGGACTTCGCCCATAATTTCTTTGTTGTTGCTGCAAGCAGGGTTGTTGTTGAAGGCAAGGTTGTTGCTGGTAGCAAGGCTGCTGCTGAAAGCAAGGTTGCTCCTGTGAACAAGGTTGCTGCTGTGAATAAGGCTGCTGTTGAAAGCAAAGCTTTTGCTGCGAGCATTGTTGTTGCTGAAAACATGGTTGCTGCTGCGAGCATGGTTGCTGCTGAAAGCAAAACGAGCGTTGCTGCCTAAATGGTGATCCAAAACCATTTCCATTCTGTTGCTGCTGAGGGTAGCCATATGAAACTGGAGGAAACTGGGAGGCCCATGTGGACTTATTACACTTCGCAACCGCATTGTTCATATTATCATCTGGACAATCGATGCTCAGGAAGTGAGCCTCGGTCACCTCGCAGGCGGTGACAATTTCCGCCTCGCCCATAACTTGCTGCTCCTCATCGCAGATGGTTATGATGTTTCCGCAATTGGGAACTGCGGCCTGGAACCACTGATACGAACCAGGTCGATGTCGCGTGGGATATTCTCCTCGAAAGCAAGGATATTTCTTAGCGCTGATAACCTCCGTAGGTTTCGGTTTTTCTGATTCTGGTTCTGGCTGGTTGGTTACCTCATTTTGCTCGGTGGACTTTGCTTCCTCTGGTTCTTCAGTGCTACTCGGCTTTTCAATTTCTACACCACTCTTGCTTAAAGAATCCTTACTATTCTCCTTACTATTCTCCTTAGAAATCTCCTTTGAATTTTCCTTTGAGTTCTCCTTTGAGTTGTCCTTAGAATTCTTCTTTAGATTCCCCTTCGAACTTTCCACGGTTTCCGACTTAGAATTCTTCAGTGTTTCATCTTTTTGGCTTATCCTGGATATCTTGGAGGGTATCCTGTCGAACTCCTCTTCTCTGGCTTTGGCGATGGCCGCTCCGGTCACCATCTCCGGTGTCTTTTCGAACTCCTCATCTCGTGCCTTGGCCTTTGCTGTTGGGGACTCGGATAGACGCAAAACCGATGCCACCATACTCTGCTGTGTAGTCCTTCCAAGCTCACTGGTCTGTGAGCCAGATTGATCTCTTCCCAAGACTTGTTTAACCGGCATTCCCGCCTGCAATCTATTTGGTGCCTTGGTCTTGATCGGCGAACCAAATGATTCCGGAATACCCAGGGATCGGCAGCCACTAGCCTGCCTGCGACGATGATGTACGGGTGGACAGGAGGAGCGGGATCGCATGGAGTCCGGACCAGCGGGAAGACTTTGTACCAGGGTTCGTAGTAGCTGCTGCCCGATTTGGTTGTTACCTTGCTCCGGTGATAAGTCCGCCCTACTCGTGGTTGTCCTTCTCGCTGGACTTGCATTACGCCAATAGGGACTGGCCCTCGGTGTCCGGACTTCGCCATTGGGCATTTTGTCACTTTAAAAGCAATTCGAATATTCAATCAATTATACAATACTTCCGTTTAAACTTGCTCTCTGGCATGACATAAAATTTTGTATTGTCAAATTTCGATTAGTCGATACAAATAAGTGAAAATATAGCCTTTGTGGTAAATAAATTCGTCAACTTCAACAGAAGCGAGAATTTGAAGAAGTAAATTTAATTCACTCTTTTCAATAGCTAAAATATTCCTAAGTCGTCAGATAACTAATGATTATATATTAGTGGCACCTTAACACGTTGCTTAACCAAGTCTTCACCTAAAGCCCTTAACAGCATAGTCTTAGTTTGGGACATCAAAAATTATTTAGACTACTTTTTTTTTAAGTTTTGACTATCAGTGTTTACTTGTGAACTTTTCGTAATTGGCCATGAATAAAGGTACAACGTTAAACGGGAGGAGGAGTAACGTTCAAAATGTGCGATCCATGTCGACTCCTAAGAAGGTGCATCAGCTGCCACGGCGGGTAAGTATAAAAAAATGAGTAGTCTATATATATATATTACTACTTTTCTCTTCAGATGTTGTTGCTGTCCTAGGCCCAATTGCTGTGTGCGATCTTGTTCCATTGATTCGCGCAATTGTCGAGTCGTTTTCCCTGGGGAGTTTCAAAAGTTCTCTGATATGGTACCACCTAGTTTTCTTCAAAAGCAGAAAACGCCATCAAAGAAAAAGAAACGATCAAAGAGTTGCACAGCATGTGAGGATGTATGTGATGATCCGTGTGCGGATAAATGTACAGAAAATTGTGAGCATCCAAGACAAACTTTTCAAAAGCGAAAGAATTTAGATGTGGAGCAAAATGCTGAAAGGCTCGGACAGGATGATGGATCAGGGTATGGAGCTATCGGACCCGGATTTAACGGAGTTCCAGGTGCAGGATTTGGTTTTCAGCCGGGACAACCTACTATTATACCATGTTATGGAACTTACGGACCGGACGGAAATCCCTTGATATTTGGCGTACCGCCACCCACTCAATATGGGAATTTTGGAATCCCCGGACCTTTTGTTTTACCAGTGGCTCAGCCATCTGCAGTAGGTCAGGGAGATGCCCGCAATCCAAGAGGACCTCCGGCGGCAGGTCTACCCTCTAAATATTTATCTAGGTTTAATCCATGTACTGGAGAAATTATAAATTGCGAAAATCAGCAAAATCCCGCAGGAAAACCAGTTGAAACGAGACAAGGCCCTTCTTATAACCAATTCTGTCAAGGCTTAGGCACGGGTTTTGGACCCAACAGTCAGTATTATCCATTTAATGTTGGGGGGCAACCAATTGATCCAAGGCAAGTTGTTCCAAATAATTCCCCTGCGAGTCCCCAAGGTGGTAAGTCAATGGGACCTACAGCGTTTTATAACCAGCAAAGTCAACCATTGAACTTTCCACCTAACAATCAGAATTATCCATATAATGTCGATGAGGGAACACTTGATTCTAGGCAAGTTCCCCAATCTTTATCATCCGCTGTTCAAGAGCGTCAAGGTGCCAATAGTTCAAAGCACCCAAGACAGCGGAATGAGTCGAGGATAGGTCGTTCGGATAAGCCACCCGAATTAAGGAAAGCCCCAGTTAATAATCAGCAAAGCAAAGCCATGGAAATCGGGCCAAACTATCAGTGTTATCCAAATAATGTCGGAGAGAGAAATCTTGATCCTAGGGCACTTCCCAAAACTAAACCATCTACGAGTCAAGAGCGTGAAGGTAATAATAGGAAACGAAATCAATCGATGGGAGCTCCGTTAAACAACCATTGGCAGCCCGAATCAAATATGCCGTATAACCAACAAAGTGTGGGCATGGGTTTCGACCCTTCCAATCAGTACTATCCCTATAATGTCGCAGATTGCCCCTTGAATGCAACCTTTGTACTGGATTCCTCTAACGCACAGCCTCGTCAAAATAATGAACGATCACATTCCGCGAGACCACGAAATGTATCGAAAGAAAGACCCGAAAAGAGTAAAAACTCGAAAGGTCTGTCAAGTTTAAAACAATCGGGGAAATCACTTAATGATCAACCCGTGAAATGTTATTGCACGCGCTTTGATCCTAACAATCAATATTATCCCTACTATGTCACGGAAGAAGGGGACTGTCCACCTTCGGAAAAGGCAAAAGGCCCCAAGGAATGTTCTGAGCTTCTCAACCGGTGAGTTTAACGTCAGTGTTACTAAGCTGCACCTACTCTACTGAAACACACACATTACACCATTTTACACACATCTTTCTTCCTTCCAACTTGAAATACTTAACGTAATGTATTCCAAATACATTGCAGCGTCACCGACTCCTGCCCTCCGTGTGATTTGCAGAAGTGGTGCCATCTCCTGATGCCGAAGGGAAAGCGCAAAACCCAGGTGAAGCCGGCGGCCAAGAAAAAGAACAAGAAAGCGGATACAAGATTGAGTTTAAAGTCCAAGTCCAAGATGAGTGTGAAGAGTACTAATGAGGTGGAAGCTAGTGGAACACCTAAAACGTCAGTCACCGTCGAACCTGCTTCCCCAATTCCTGAAGAACCCGAACCTGAAGATTCTGGCTGCCCGTGTGGTTGCAATAATCTTTGTCCCCCATCCTCGCCGAAACCAGAAATGCGCAGCTGCAGCTGCTCTGCCAACATACCTGCGTAAGCATATTTAAAATTAAAGTTGTATAAATATCAATACCTATTTTTCCACAGACAAAACGGAGCCAACCCAGCGCCTTGCGTTTCGTATCCCGTAAACTCCGGCAACACCGCCTGCTGCAACACGTGTCCTTGGTCCTGGTACTATAGTCCTTGCAACGGCTGCTATTACTACTGTGCGAACTGCTGCAATGGCTGTCGTAATTGCTGCAATCACTGCTGCAGTCCGTGCGGTCGCTGTTGCAGCAGTAGCTGCCCAGCTCAGATGGAGAAAGTTCCTCCAAAACCAAAGCCGAAGGAAAAGGAGAAACCGGACAAATCGACTGCAAGCAGCAGGCGAAATTCCGCCGGAATGTCTGTGCAATTTAACGTTTTGAACAATCCAGCCGATTCAGGAATCCGGAGAATTCAGGTAACACCTCCACCTGTACCTTTCAACTGCTCCATGCCGTCGGGTTCAACTATACCAGGATATGGTCCGATTGCTCCGCCCCAATTCAACTCCCCCTATAGTGGACATTGGGAGGCGGGCGGAGTGGACATAAATCGGGCCAATCAGTGTAATAACCGAAGTCCTTTAAACATCAGCTGCATGCGCCACGGATAGTTTCCACCATGTCTAAATCATACGTTGAACATTATTTTACATTTTAACACAAGTCTAAAGTAATAAAGAGAACCATAAAATGTATAAGAAATGCATGATAAACGTTAATATTTTACCCACGAAAACCAACTCACAATTTTATACGATTTTCCTTAGTACTTTTTATTAGTTCAAATCGATATTTTATTTTCCTTTTTATACACTCTTATGTGTTTCTCTCTTTTGTATACCATATACATATATAGATTTTTTCGAAAGTTTTGTGGGCTTCGGTTGTAGAAAAACTTAAAAAGTTTCTTTAAAATATAAACTTCGTCATAAAATTAAATACCTCTTTAAAGTTGTTTTAGAAAAGACCTAACTAAAAACTATGAACATAGCACATTGTAAACATGTTTGTGTAGTGCAGCCATAAATATTGTATGGTATGTTTGTAATATTATAATAGAGGGAATATTAGATTGTTAAATAAGAAAATAGGCATTAAAACTACGGGGAAAATTCTAGCACATGATATATGGATCTGGGTTCTGCAGCTTCTTTCTTAAAACATAGAATTAAACTGAGTTTGGCTTGCATATTGCCCTTTACGTTATGTAATGTGGTTTGCTTAGTTAGCTTTCGTGTTGTATATATATATATGTAAACATATATATATTATATTATTGTTATCTTACAACTATATGGACTCTTATCTGCCCTTATTCATGTTGCTTCTGCACTCAATATAAGCTTTAACAATTATGGGTGCCGCAAGGGCTGAAAATTATATAGAAAAACAAAAACTACATACATCTGCATAGCTCAAACTATTTACATTGGACAGTTTTTTTGGGGTCTGAGAACGCCAGAAACGATTTGTGGGTGGTGGTTAAATTATTTGTCGGTATGTCTATGTATGGATAGTGTAGTTTTTGTTTCAATCACATGTTTGCACTCCCAACGAAACGGTGAATAACTTAAGGAAATGTTGTTGATGTTGTGAAGATTGCCGGTGTTTCATGGTTGGAATAAAGCTCTTTCTGCCCCGAATACTTAAGCATTCTCATCGGTTACATATATGTAGCCATGCTGCTGCAATATGCTCAAACGCTTCTCAACGGCATCGCGATCTATTGAGAAATGTAAGTTTCCATTATTAAATAATTTATTAAAATTTGTTAGCAACCTACATTTGTTCAGCAGCATTTTGTCCTGCGGATGATTGCACTTTTGTACCAATGAATGCAGCAGAATATGAGCGGTGTTGTAGCGCTCAAAGCAATTCTTGGTGTTCTTTAATAGTTCATCCAAAGCAGCCGCTTGACACTATAATTTTATAACAAAAATTAGGAATTAATGGGCTTTAAAACACGATAAACTAAGTATTAAAAAAAAGTCTATTATTTCATTATCTGGTTTATAAAATAACTTCAATAAAGTTTTTCTTACCATATCTAGAGCATAGTCGTACAGAATCTTGTCCGCCGTAATATTAAATGCATTCGCTTTCTGCAACAGACCGCTGCCATTGAGTCGCTTCGATTCGAACAGCATGCTCCGGTATTTGGCGTTCATGGTGAGCAAAGCTAGGAGTAACCAATAAACATTGTAGAAGGACATGCTATGCTTAAGGAACCCATCCACTCACCATTCTTCACATTGGACGACGGCTTCAGCTGGCCATTGCGCAACTGCTGGGAGGCCAGATTCATGCCGGACGAGAGGAGCTGCAGTCCTCGGACGAGCAGCACCAGGCGCTCTGCCCGCTTGCAGTGCTCCGGAGCGTGTGGCGGTATCTGCTGGGCATCCGCCGCCGCAGCTGCTGCCGCCGACTGACTGCCGGCCACCATGAGCGTGGAGAGCGGAGCACACCGCGAGTCGGCCACCTCCTGGATGCAGTCGGTGAGGGCCAGCACAAAGTTCAGCTTGGACAGAGTCTCGTTGTGCTCGCGATCCATCAGCGTCTCCTCCGAAAGCTCTGGGGCCTGGAATGCATGATGTTCCCCACCACCGCCGACACCTGTGTCCAGCAGACTGTGTAGCCCACCAGTGGCCCCCCAGTTCGGGCAGCGTAAAGGCTCGCGGTCCCAGCATATGATGCTGGTTATTGTTCTCCGATCCGCTGCCCGCCGAGCCAATCGATCCCAGGGAACCTGGAGCCACCAGCATAGTGGGACTGCCCAAAGTGGGTAGCTTTGTAAGCGCTGCGGACGGCAAAACAGGGGAGCTGTTGCCACTCCTTCGCAATGGCGATTGCGAGTGTCCCGGCGATACTTGCCAGGTGCTCGGTGCATGCGGCGGCGGTGTCTCCGACAGAGATCCTCCCGAGGCAGAACGCATCCGCGTGGGCGGCGTTCCAATCGCAAACTGCACCGCCGGCGGCGAGATCGAGTTGATGTCACTGCTCACACTGCTCTTGCGCTGATCCGGTCGCGGTTGCTTCACGCTAATGGGCTGCGATCGGGGTATCTGCTGGCCTCCCAAAGTGGCCACCGTCAGCGGTCCGGAACCCTGCCTGGCTGGAGAGCTGGCCGGATTGTTAGCCACCTGGCGACGAGCTGGTGCCGGCACTGGTTTGGGTTCCGAGATGGGCAGACTGCTGGGGCGCGGCGGACTGGATTGATTCTGTTGCGGCTGTGGACGCTGGCCACCGGAAGCGGGCTGGGCCTGGGCCTGGGCCAATCCCTGGCGCTGATCCTCGGGAAGATTCTTGGGAACCAACACAAAGTCATCTGAGTCCTCGTGGGAACTGCACGATCCGCTGTTGTTCTCGCTATCGCACAGCACACCCACGTTGGTAATGGTGGCACAAATGGCCGGATTGGCCACCACGGAAACTAAAAAAATAAAATATTGAATGAGCATTTAGTTTAATGAATAATGATGATAATAATTAATTTATAAATTTTATAGAACTATTTGATTTAAGTTAAGGTTTTCATGAATCTAAGTTGTCCTTTGAGTGATAAGGATTTAGTGTGATTAATATTAAATTAATGTTTTTCAATTTATGTCATTAACATTAAAAATTCTTAATTTGGCACACTTTTTCATTTAATTGAACCTCTTTAGCTAGTTTAAAAATTAACAACGATTTGTTAGGTAAGGCCAAGTGCTAATTTGTGTATTTTCTTCAGGAATTATCACCTGTATTCAGGTTTAGTGAGGTTTTCTTAAACCTGGTCGTTTAAAATAATTAAGGAAAACCTTTTAGAAGTGACTAATATATACTTGGTAAACAAAATATCTTTGCAGGATCTTTAAGGACACCTACCAGTATTCTCCTCCTCCTGGGCCTCCAGCTCCTCGCGCTCCTTCTGCTGCTGCTCGGCCAGCTTGAAGAGCTGCAGTTCCTGCTCCAGCTGCTGCTGCAAGGGACTCTTGGCCTTGGCAGGCGGGGTTCCGCCCAGCGGTGGCATGTCAACTGCAAGAACACCACTCTTAGAGACTCGCCGCCGCAGGTTGGCTGCTTGGCTTGGCTCACCTGGCGACGCGGCCGCCTTCTTGCCCTGAAGGAAGCGGTGCACAAAGAAGCTCTCGTACGAGATGCGGTCCTTGGCGTTGCGACGCAGGAGGCACAACAGCAGATCCTTCAGCTCCGGTGACACGCCACTTGGAATTCTTTAAAGAAATCAGGTTTGTATCATCTTCTGGTTGATTGGGTATATTTAAAGACATCTTACTTTGGCGCCAGGTCTGCATTCTGCTCGTAGTAGAACTTTAGTTCGTTGGGCGTTTGTGCATAGAATGGCGCCTTGCCAGTCAAACATTGGTAGACAATCGTTCCCAGCGACCAGAGATCCGCCTTGGAGTCGTACTGCAGCGACATGATCACCTCGGGAGCCTGTAGAATCCCGATATACATTATTAGTTTTGATTTCTTTTGATTTGGGTATAATAAACACTTACCATATACATGGGAGAGCCGCACAGAGTGGCTGCCATGGCGCCCTCGTTCAGAAAACGAGCAAACCCAAAATCGGCTGTAAGATAAACGAGTTTAAGTCTTTTCAAGTTAAGAAAGTACTTTAAATTTCTAGCTAAAAGATGATCATATAAAAAAACTAAGTAATGACCAGTTTAACAAAAAAACAAGAAAGGAAAGCTAACTTCGGGCGGAGCCGAAGTTGATATACCCTTGCAGAATACTCTGAAAATTATATTCTCCAAAATTATTCATATGATGCATTCTTAATACTCATCAAAAATCCCAACTTCCTAACTTTAAAAACACCAAAGTTATGGCATTTCCAATCGTTCAGTTATATGGCAGCTATAGGATATAGTAGGCCGATCCTTATGAAATTTGGTAGGTCGGATTGGCTGGCCAAATATAACACCCATATAAAATGCCAACTTCCTAACTTTACAAACACCAAAGTTATGGCATTTCCGATCAATCAGTTATATGGCAGCTATAGGATATAGTCGGCCGATCCTTATGAAATTCAGCATGTCGGATTGATTAGCCAAATATAAAACCCATAGAAAATCCCAACATTCTAACTTTACAAACACCAAAGTTATGGCATTTCCGATCAATCAGTTATATGGCAGCTATAGGATATAGTCGGCCGATCCTTATGAAATTCGGCATGTCGGATTGATTAGCCAAATTCAAAACCCATAGAAAATCCCAACTTCCTAACTTTACAAACACCAAAGTTAAGGCATTTCCGATCGTTCAGTTATATGGCAGCTATAGGATATAGTCGGCCGATCCCGGCCGTTCCGACTTATATACTGCGTGCAAAGGAAAGAAGGGTGTGTGCAAAGTTTCAATTCGATATCTTTAAAACTGAGAGACTAGTTCGCGTAGAAACAGACAGACGGACAGACAGACGGACAGACAGACGGACAGACAGACGGACAGACGGACAGACGGACAGACGGACAGACGGACAGACGGACATGGCTATATCAACTCAGGAGGTGATCCTGATCAAGAATATATATACTTTATAGGGTCGGAGATGTCTCCTTCACTGCGTTGCACACTTTTGACCAAAATTATAATACCCTCTGCAAGGGTATAAAAATTTCAAAAGAGTGAAGGTGAAGATTAAGCTTTGTAAGCTTTATTATACTATTTATTTATTTAACTTACCAATTTTCAGGGTTATTTTCGATGGAGCTGGCAATATTTTGCCATAATTGTGCGATAGCAAAATGTTTTGTGGCTTGAGATCACGATGCACAATTCCTTTGGTATAAAGTGCTTTCATAGCACCAGCTGCAATAAGGGGAAAATTAAATTGAGGTAAGTCTTAAAATGTCTGTGAATTTTAGAGGCATGGTATAAAATATCATTCAATTGAGGGATTGATAAGGAGTTAAGTTGCGGTTCTTATTCATAAACTTAAGTTAGGGTTAGGATCTCGACAATCCGATCATACCTAGTTGCACGAGAAAGAGTCTGACGGTATCCTCGCTCAGCGTTCCCTTAACACTCAGATAATCCGCCAAGTCGCCACCATTGCAGTACTGTAAAGAGAAATTGTCACAAAAAAAGAGTGAGTAGAGCTAAGTGGAAAATTCAATTAAGAGAGCTTCCTCCTCAGGCACAAGTCAAGAGTTCAGTGCGCACATAAATCTCCTCGGACCCCAAATACAGTAAAATGCGACCCATGCAAATGAATTAAGTCCAATCAGTGCGAAAATGCAAGAGCCCCGAGAATCAGTCGGTCTTCGCCTTTCAGCTGCGCGTCTTTTGTCCAAACGACAGACATTCATAGAAAACAGCAAGGTCATAGCGAATATGATTTGTGGCAATTTTCTTAATCAAGAACTGGAATTAGGGAAATGTGTTTATGGATCAGCCAGCTGCTTTTCTTTTGTCGGTTAAATAACAAAATTTCAGTTCCGGTTTATTTCGGCAATAGAGAAAACAAGGGGATTGAAATGGGTATGGCACTCGGAAAAAGATTTTATTTATATTGCTTTGAAATTAAAAAATTAACTTTGAAGTTCTGAAAATGACTCATTAAAACAACTTATCTAGTCAGCGGGTATATTAAAAAAAAAAATATATATATAGAATGTCCTTTTTCTGACTTATCCAAATTTATTATTTTTAAAGGAACAATTTAAAATTAAATGCAAGACTTTATCATTAGCCTATTTATATTTTTTTTCATAACTATTCTAACCAAGTATTCATTAAATAACATTCTGAGAGTTTTTGACTTATTAAAAAAAAATTAATTAATTAAAAAACTATTAAAATTAAAAATAAGTTTTTTTTCGTTTAGAAAAATTTTGAATCCTGAAAAGGGTTTAATACAACTGAAACTGGAACTACAAGGAATTGTGTAACCAACCCTCGGCCAAATGTAAATGAAGAGAACCCGTTTCTCCAAAATGCTGTTATTTTGGACAAAACATCATGCCAAAAAGGATTTGCGATTTTTGACCTTGAGGCGCCAATCAAAGACATGTCTATAGTATTCCACAAACAGTCAAAACCCACAGAGCAATGTGTGTGTCGGGCAGTTTTATGGATTTTTTGTTTTCCATGAGAAAATATATGCACCACTTACAATTTAATGAGCAAACAAAGCCAGCAATGACAGCAACAACAGAAACATTAGGCAATTAAAAAGCCAAATTGAAATGACAAAAGATTTCACTTCACTCGCTTTTTGTGAAGACGCGGAAGAGAGGCGAAGAGAAAGAACATTAAAAAAGTCATTGACATGTAAAGTGACATCAGGCAATGGCAATACATTAATATAAAAGTAAAAGTTCCAACGAAATGGGGAAACACTCGCTATATGGAGGGTTTTTTGTGGAATTTTAAACGGATAAAATAAATGAAGCACCAGACAGAATTTAAAATTTATATTTATTTCCCGGCAACAAGTGCGCATGAGTCAGCGGTTTATTGGAAAATGCACTTGCGTAATTAAAGAAACACTTTGGATTCTCTTGCTTTTCAAGAAATAATTATAAAGAGAGCTTTGAAAGCCAAGAGAACAAACTCTTTAGACCTCGACTTTTTGAGCTCTCCGCTTCTGCGGTTTCATTCGAAGCTCATTTTCAAAACGACGTTCGCACCTATCGCACGTCGCTTCGCGCTGTAAAAACCCACAAAAAAGATGTTATAATAAAAACAAAGATATATAAATCAGATAGTGAAACCCAAAAGCTAAATTCCCTATCGCTACCAAAATAAATCTGTGTTCCCCAACTTACTACATATAAAAATATAAAACAACGCGAGTTATTTCAAGTAAACGCAATGGACTAAAGGTCAACATATTGCTAGGCGATAAAAAGCAAGCTTCTATAAATTGTACACACAGTAATCACAACACAAAGACGCATGGAACGGAATTAAAACAAGAGTTTAATTTAGTTCTAGGTGAATCAAGTGCTACCCAATGAAATATTTAAACAAACTTATCAGTGAAATCACGTCCAATTTAATCGGAATGATTCAGCTCAGTCATTTACATTTTATAGTAACTATGTTAATAAACTGTGAATAGACACAATCCTTTTTACCAAAAGTAAAGTGAATAATTGATACAAAAAAATTATTGTTCAATTTATGATTAAAACTATTTATTTAATTATACATAGCTTTCTTTTCTACTCAATATAATATGACATAATATTTGTTTATATAATATATATCAGTATACCAACATATACATTACTCTTTAATAAAAAATGAATAAAGTTTAATTATTATCACTTTTTAATTTAAATCTATAAAATAAAGTTTTACATTTTACTTTTAACATTTAATTTAATCTTTAAGTTTTCAACTATATTATAATTTACATTTTTTATACGACAATTAAAACTTTGATTGACATAAAGTTGCTTGAAAACAAAACAAAAATAGAGAGAGTGAGGTACATAGAAATTAATACCGAGAACTGATAAGATTACCAATAACGGCTAAACATTAAACAAAACATGGGAGAGATTAAAAAAAAGAGATAAAGGGGAGAGAGATAATGTTTTGGGGTTTCACTCTCTTTGACTCTCACACACACCTGTTCAGTCTTTCCATCGCATTTGCTGGCGATTTTTTTGCTCAGTTGAGAGGCGACAGCGATTGGAACAGTTTGTGGGAGCGGAGTGAAAAATTCGCAAAAAATTTGAGTTTTTGCAAAAGTAAACCGGCAAATGCAAATATAAATAACTCGTGAAAATATTAATTAAAACCAAAACAGAACAACATTAAAAGTGCAAAGTGGCAAAACAAAGCAAAAATAAACCTCAGAAAAATTAATCGAATCTATTTTCAGCTGGCAAATTTTCACATCAAAAACTTTCGCAATACTAAGAAAATGAAATGAAATCCCATAAATAAACACAAATATAAACAGCTAGCTTTGAAAACGCAGTGAAAACAAAAGCTAAACAAATAACAATAAACAATAATAATGCACGTGTATTACAAGTTTGGATTACTCTTAATATTTTTACTAAGCGTAAGGTAAAAATCAAACTTCAATAAATGTTTACATATGTATATCGATGTGTTTTACACAGAAAATTTGAAATTCTTATGGGGTTCGGAAAAGTAATACATTTATTTATTAAAGGAAACGAACGAAAGACAAGGGGCAAAGTTTCCGTTGAGCAACATTCGTAATGATTAATTCACTCAAATCGAAGTAACGACAGGTGAACCTGAATAACGGGACTTTGACCCGCTCACCACTGAGATATCAATGCCGAATGGAATACTCACGCATGGGGTTATAAAAAAAAAGCAACTTTTTTATTGATAGTCCACGGCAACAGCTCTTAATTGCTGCCTATTATATATTAGGTGCATGAATATACACTCTACCTAATCATATCACACAATCTGATAAAAATAATATCAATCCGCTGTTGCCCGATAATTTATACCGTTTTTCCTTATCATATGTGTTTGGTCAGCGGTTGGAATTCCTTGACGAATAGCGGACCATTCACAATAGCGCTGAAATTTACAACTGTCTCGCTTTTCCTCTTTTGTAGTAAAATCAATTTATGACTCAGATTTGTTTTAGCCATTTCCTATTTTGGTCGACTACACGGAAGAAAAATAAACTTAAAATAAAATTTAGTTCTGTAAATTAACATGTTTGTTAAATTATAATAAAATATTTTAAAAATATCCTTATTTTAATTTTCCCCTTTAATATCAGTAATGTTTTAATAAATCACGAATATTTCTCCAGTGTTCTTCAAAACTTTTCCTTATTGATTTTTGAACCTTTTCTTGCTTTTTCAGCCACTCCAAATCAAATGTCAAAATAGAGTGCTTTTGAGCTCGCCGCTTCTAATTTTACTCATTTGACTTGAAGTAGTCAAGGGAATTACGTTGAGTAGGTCGTCATGCTTAGATACAGTTTAAATTTCTTTCGCAATAGGCATTAACTTAAGTGAGGCGAAGCTTGAAGGCGATTCGGTTACGTTTGATTTTATATCTTTATTATCCAGTAGAAATATATCAATAAATGCATTTCTTATCAACTCTTTGCGGAACCAAACCCTTAAACAACTAGATTCGGTTTTAAAAGTCGTTTGCCCCGTCAAATTAAGCACTTTTATGGCCTGACGAGTATCATTGAAACTTCACTCAAAAGTCACGCAATTGAAGAGAATTCCATAAGGCAGTTTTAAGACTCACTTGAACTACACTACCACCCGATTCTTACCTATTTTCACACATCCACTAGAACCGAAGTCGCCTAAAGCAGGATAACGAACGATTTAGAATCAGGCGAGCCAAGTCGCAAAAAATGAAGAGGGATGGTTCAAGTCAAAGCAAAAACAAAACATAAAAAAAGTGAGAGTAAACGAAATCGTGAAAAAAACCGGTCAAGTTGTCTTTTTTGCCATGAAGTAAACGGGTTTCGGCTGTTTGTTTTTTACTAAAATATCTACAGTAAGTCTCAAAAATGTAGGATCATTTAAAAAAAGTATACGGTATAAAAAAATGTATACATTCAAATGGCTTTTGTTTGATTTTTTTTTTAATTATACACCAACAAAAAAATACTTTACCATAATCCCATTTTTTTTTATAGAAATAACTAAATATAACTAACTAATATAAAACAAATGATCCTTTCATCAACTAGTAGATTTTGAATAATTTAATAGTACAAACTAAATTAATTTGTATTAATATATGGGCTATTATTTTGCCCACAACTGTCTAGAAAAGTACATATATGTATGTTTGCTCACAGATGTCCGTATACTCATTCATGCTCTTTCGTGGAGCAAACATAAACAAAAGCGTATAATGATAGTGGGGAAAACGAACGTTTCTGTGTGTGACTATGGCGTGGCTATAACAAAATAGGTCAAGAGCGATTTCAGGACAAATTAGCGAGGTGTGTGCGCCTTCAAGACGTGAATGATGTAAGCACAATCTACTTAGAACTGACAATCTAAAGCCAAATATTGACAATTTTGGGTTTTTGGTAAAACCACTTTACAAATTTGTAAAGTAATTGCTCTAGCAGAATTGCGAATGCGGTTGGAATCTAACTGCTTTGAGATTTTCAGCATAAATAATGAGAAATTGTTTGAAATTAAATGATTTAAAAGTCTTTAAACATTGAGAAGTAATAGGATATTGCTTGATTACACTGGTCCCTAATTAGTATTAATTTAAAATGCAATTTTCCAGCATTAGCCACACAAATGCTGCACCAGCGGGCAGTGAGGAGGCAAATCGAGGGGCCGATTTCTCCGAGAACTACGATGATTATAGTGATGATGATGTAAGCGGGATATCGACAGGCGATGAAGCGCCGGAGACAGCAGAAAATAGACTGATGCCACTATCATCCTCCACATCGACCACCACCACATTTCGACCAATATTTAGTGAGTAATGTTGTTTGATAATAAGACCAAAAGAGTAAGAGGGTGTATTGTTTTACAGATATACCCCGACGCAGTAACCATGTCCTGGAGCCCAGTTGCCCGCGCAGCTGCCTCTGCTTGGAGGACTTTAAATACGTTCAGTGTGCGAATGCCCATTTAACCCACGTGCCTCTGGACATGCCCAAAACGGCTGCCATCATCGATCTGAGCCACAATGTAATTGCTGAACTGAGGCCAGAGGATTTCGCCAATCTTTCCCGAGCGGTGGACATCAATCTGAATCACAATTTGATCAGCCACATAGACAAGGAGGTGAGCCATACAACTATTCCTAAACTTGCTCTATAATTGTTGAATTAACTATTCGTTATTATGAGGAAAAAAAAAAACAAAACTTTTAATGTTCTTTTTTGTGAGCTATTAATTGAGCTAATGTTAAAAAGTGCTGTTAAATACGTTATTTTATGGAATTGTAGACAGTGCTAAAAATTTGTATTACCCAAAAGCCATTTTAAAACTGAAAATCTTTCAACAAACAAACTTTAACATCTTTCAAATTATAAAGTAAACAAAAACGCATAAGTTACCCACGATTTACACACTTTAATTAATTTCCTGGATTTTATTTTTTAGGTCTTCCAAGGCGCAGAGCGTTTGCAGCGCCTACGTTTGGCCAACAACCGGCTAACCAAAATCGATCCCGACACATTTTCGGAGGCCAAGGAACTAACCCTACTCGATTTGAGCAACAATTCCATAACCCAACGCCTGGATGGATCCTTTTTGAACCAGCCCAATTTGTTGGAGTTCAGTTGCACCAATTGCAGTTGGACGGAATTGCCGCAGCAGACGTTCGAGAACATGAGTGCCCTGGAAACACTCCGCTTGAACATGAACGATTTCAAACAGGTGAGAATTGAGCGCCAAAAATGCGATAGCACTATCGTTTTTGGAGCGCTATCGTTCCATCGATAGTTGGCGCAGCCCCAAAACAGCTGTGTTTGCGATACCACATATATAGTTGTCCCTCTCTTGCATTTTCTTTTCAACAGCAAATCAATACGAAAGCTTTTACGCCGCTAACAAAAATAATTAAACTAAAGCTGCCAGACTTGGAGCAGAAGAACATTGAGAAGCTGTGTAAACTGTTGGACTCCATTGACACCATAAATTTCCTCCACTTTGACATCAGTTGCTATGAATTCGTGGTGGGCACCTCCTTCAACGAGAGTCTGATTCTGCCCACGGAAACCCCGATTAAGAAGGGTCCCGGTCTTCCCATCGTGGCCACCAGTACTCCAAAGCCAGTTATTTCCACGCCAGCAACGCCAAGAACTGGTGAGAACTTTAAACAATATCCCATCATATTATATCTCATCTTGCTAACGTGGCGTTTTACATCTTAATCCCATACAGCAAATCGCAATCGTGGAAAAATGGACAACAGCACGGAGTTGGCTAAGGCGGGAATTCTGAGTACCGTGACCAACAGCAGTGGGGTTAGCGTGGAATCACCCGGCGAGACGAAGACCAACCAGGTGGAGATCTCCCCGGAGACTATCAACACGCTGCTCATCTGTAAGTACTTCTCTGCCTAAGTTTCATAACTCAAACTACCAGTGATAGTATTCAAAATATGTTAAAAAAAATTCCGCAACTACTATTATGTGTGAAAATTTAATTTAACAGCTATCAATTCATAATATATATTGAAAATTGAATTGGTCGTTTAAGTTATGAAAATTATACCCACACATTTATAAGCCTTACTAACTTCTTGAATATTTCTCCCTAGGCATCATGACTTTGGCCGTGATTGGCATCGTCATCGGCCTTATTTGCCGCAAGGATATTGGTGGCATCAAAACCAAATGCTGCCGCACTAGCAAACCAGAGCCAAAGGATCAGGTCCATCCCACTGAGGAGATACCATTGAATAAGCTAGCCTAAGAAAACTTCCCAAAAAACCAAAACAAACAAAGAAGAAAAGAGAATCCTATTCCTCCATTTTTGAGAAATAATTCCATTTTGCCGGCATTTTTATAGAATATAAATAGGTATACGTCGTGAATATGTATATGGCTAATTAGTTAACTACTATGACTCTGATTTCAACTGTCGTGACACCTAATTGTAGTTTCTAAACATTGTTTGCCGCACAAAAGCTACCAGGAACAAAATTACCCCTATCCGCTGTTAGATTTTATTGTTTAATCGGAGTAGGTTAAACAGCCTAGTCGCTTAGCGTTCTTTTCTTTAGGGAAGCAGCTCGGTAAATGGGACCTTACACAAACTCCTGGCATTGTTCTAGGTTTAGTTTCAAATGAAATTTCCATCGCAACACTTAAATTAATGTATCCACTATATACTTTAGTTCTTAGCATTAGACATTTGCCAAAATACAATAAAAATGATTATTGTAAATAGTAAAAAAGAAGAAAGGTGTTTTAATGTTAGAAAATGGAAAAATGTAGAATACTATCGTGGGTAAGTACAGCCTATTAAAACCTTTAATTTTGTAAAGACGTTTTTCACTCTGAAACACAACACTTGATAACTTGAATTGTTATCCCAACCTCTTCCTATCACATACTTATCCTCAGACAACAAAAATAAGCCCCTAATAAACACATCATAAAATATTGGCAAGATAAACAAACAAATCAGACCAACCAAAGTAGCCAGTAATGGTGGGAAAAGCGGGGTGGCATAACACGTGGCCGCAGAACCAATAAATATTCATCAACAACACAGAAACGAACTGATTATATTCTGGGGAACAGCGGACTCCTCTCCGTCTCCCCGGTGGCAAACAAATTAGAATACAGAGCAAACAAGGCGAATGGGGCCAAAGTCAGACGAACGACTACGTACCAACTACTACAATAAACATCAGATGAAACGAAACACTCCCTTCCTATCGCTTTTTACCCCCAATCAGTTTGATTTTGCTCCACCTATGCCGATGACATGCAATCTTGTATGTGGCCACAACAATGTAGCGTTGGTAAGCGAACTAAAAAATAAAACAAAAATTAAAGATTGGGCTTTCGATCTATTTTTGAACTATTTTAAAAACACATCATTTTTTTTTAGGTAACCTAGTCTTTTGTACATATGGTTCTGGCATATCAAAATAATTTATTTGAATGAAATCAAACTTCTAAATATCTTTAAGTTTGTAATTTCACTGCATTAACTATATATCTACTTTAATAACCCAACTAACCCTCCTTCAAGGGTATTCATAAAAAAAACAAAGCTATCCAATCTTATCAGTAAAAATGCTCAAAAAAGGAAGCTAATACTCGTGCCACAAGCATTTGACCTAATTTCAAGATAATAGATGGTATATAAACAACACTGAAAGCTAAAAGCATGCAAACACCTGTAACCTGAATTAAGTTGAACAAACTTGAGGTTAAACACATAGGTATCCACAATGAGCTCCTGAATTGGTGTGAATTAAAAAAATGCGTATTAACAAAAACGAAAAACAACAAAAAAAGTAAAAGAAAAACCAAATTATATAGACAAATTGGTAGCGTATTTCCTGTTAGAAATACTGCCACATAGGTTAACCCTTGGAACTTATTGAATTGAAGATTTTAAAAAGCGCCTCACATCTTCATAGCCAAAATTACCATTTAGAGACTATAATTCCCCAATTAAAAACTTTAAATATTTTACTGCCCAATTTACCTGGCTATAAGTTTCCTATAATCATTTTAAGTTTATTCCCCGAGCTGTCAGTTAAAATATAAACATTTCAATCAAGTGAATTAGTGAGTAGCAGCCATTCGGTGCAAAACGCTTTTACCATTCTATTCTCACTTTATTTTTGTTTACGAATTCATTTCGCAACTTCCGCAATTAATGGCGTAGCATTTTGGTCAAGAGAAGGAGGTTAAAGAAGGTGGTGGTGGGAATATGGGGGGAGGGGAATGACGTGGAGCTGGCCGACGTGCACTTTGCTTTGCAATTCCCATCCCACAAAAACTGAACTGAATCACACACGTTTTAGCCATAAAATCATTAAATATTTATGAATTTATCGCTTCGCTATGCGGTTATATTTATGTTGTTTTTATGCCAAACTCACCTCCATAACCAGGCTGACGCAATCCTGGGACTCCTTGCAGTCCAGCAGAGCCACCACATTTTCATGGTGAAGTTCGGTGAGCTCCTTCAGGATCTTGATCTCCTTTCCCAGCAGATTCTGCGTCTTCAGTTGTCCCTTCTTCGTGATGCACTTAATGGCCACTGGCATGTGTTTCTGTAACAGAGGAAACGAATTTAATTTTGGGTTACTCACTTCACAGTCATTGAACGGCTAACCCAATTACAAGCCAAAGTCAGCACAATGACTCAATTTATTCGCATGGGAATTTAATTTGCACAATACTAAAACGTTTTCCATTTTAAATTTGTTTTCAGTTTCGATCACAAAGAAATGTTGGTGTGAATGATATAAATATATTTATTTTATTTCACAAAATAAAACAATTTTTATAGGTCATTTACTTTTGAACCAATTTACCACTTAACTTTTGTTTGATTCTCGGGCTTCTTAGCCTGATTTTAAATTTTCTATATGTCTATGAAATGTTTAAAATTATTCATCATATGCGTTAAATTCCATCCCATTCACAACAATAAATTTGTCTGGTAACAAAGTTTAAAAGGGGCCAGAAAATGCGGCGCATTTACATATGTTGGAATGCTAGTTTTAATTTGTTTACAAATCTATTCTAAATAAACGTTCGGTACGAATATATGGATTGCTAAAGTATTTTATTAAGGCCCAATGATTTTTTGTATACAGTCCTTACCTAACTTTTGTAAGAAGCGAAAAGAACTATAAACTATAAACCATTAAATCCACTATATTCACTATTTCGAGTTTTTTCTGGATCTTGTGTTGTTGACCTCGTCCTTGTGGAAAAGCGCTGCATTCTCATGGTGTTACTTTATCTAAAACCCATAATCTTTGCATCCAGCTGCTGCCATAAATTTGCCTTCCAAATGTTTACATTCTCCTTAAGCGAATGTCTTTGGCTTGCTTCAATTAGCGCGAACTGAAACAGGGAAATGCGAAAATGCAAATGCCACGATCTCACAACACTTTGGAGGGTCTCGCTCGGTTAAATGTTATTATTAGATACGCAAAAACGCATTCAACCGGCGGGCAGGCAAAATGAGGAGGTGCAGGCCCATTATTGCGGTGAATAAGATTGTTTACTCGAGCGCTCGAGTGACGAACTTGGCCCGGACTTGCAGGCACACCAGCTAACGGGCTGGGCTGATTTGACTTAACCGGTTGAATCGCCCCACTGATAAGGCCTACGTCGTTAAATGCCTCTCCTCTGAGTCCCCTGGATGTGGTCACCTTATTTGCTTTCAACTTAGCAGGTGACAATGACTCTTTGTCTGTGTTTGCTCTTTCCGCCGTCTACCCCTGACTAAAGCCCACAGCAAAAGACGAAAGTGTAAATTTAAACAAGTTTGCCTACTACAAGGAAGCACAGCACGGATAGTGGAAAGTGTGGTGGGGTAGTATAGACTGGAATTTATCCTATCAAGAGCATAAATCATTGTATAAAGCGCGCTTTGCAAAATATCTAAATAGATTATGACGCCATAAACTGTATATCTAAAGGGGTTTAAGTTGTTTATGAAAGTTTGGTACATTATTCAAATATTAATCTCAAACTAGTTTCCTTAAGAGTTTGAGAGTTTCTTAACCTTAAACAACTATCTAAAGAACCAAAATTTTTAAATTGATTTACCCAGCATACCCTACAAACTTACAACTACTGGGTGCAGATATCACCAGACATTCTATAGGTTTCCCCTTATAATATCGTATCACCTTAGCCGGCGTTCACGCGTTGTTTGAATGGAAATGATAATCGATATGTTTTTCCTCCAAGCACATAATCTTTATACCCTTGCAGAGGGTATTATAATTTTGGTCAAAAGTGTGCAACGCAGTGAAGGAGACATCTCCGACCCTATAAAGTATATATATTCTTGATCAGGATCACCTCCTGAGTTGATATAGCCATGTCCGTCTGTCCGTCTGTCCGTCTGTCCGTCTGTCCGTCTGTCTGTTTCTACGCAAACTAGTCTCTCAGTTTTAAAGCTATCGAGTTGAAACTTTGCACACACCCTTCTTTCCTTTGCACGCAGTATATAAGTCGGAACGGCCGGGATCGGCCGACTATATCCTATAGCTGCCATATAACTGATTGATCGGAAATGCCATAACTCTGCTGTTTGTTAAGTTAGGAAGTTGGGACTTTCTGTGGGTTCTATATTTGGCCAATCAATCCGACGTACCAAATTTCATAAGGATCGGCCGACTATATCTTATAGCTGCCATATAACTGATTGATCGGAAATGCCATAACTTTGGTGTTTGTAAAGTTAGAAAGTTGGGACTTTCTGTGGGTTCTATATTTGGCCAATCAATCCGACGTACCAAATTTCATAAGGATCGGCCGACTATATCTTATAGCTGCCATATAACTGATTGATCGGAAATGCCATAACTTTGGTGTTTGTAAAGTTAGAAAGTTGGAATTTTCTATGGGTTTTATATTTGGCCAATCAATCCGACCTACCAAATTTCATAAGGATCGGCCGACTATATCTTATAGCTGCCATATAACTGATTGATCGGAAATGCCATAACTTTGGTGTTTGTAAAGTTAGGAAGTTGGGATTTTCTATGGGTTTTATTTTTGCCCAATCAATTCGACATATTAAATTTCATAAGGATCGGCCGACTATATCCTATAGCTGCCATATAACTGATTGATCGGAAATGAAATAACTTTGGTGATTTTAAAGTTAGGAAGGTGGGATTTTTTATGAGTATTAAAAATGCATCAAATGAATAATTTTGGAGAATATAATTTGCAGAATATTCTGCAAGGGTATTTCAACTTCGGCTCCGCCCGAAGTTAGCTTTCCTTTCTTGTTTAATATGCATTCGCAGATGTATTTATACAATTTGCATTTTTATTTATTCCTTTTGAGTAAACTGCAAGAAATCAAGCAATTCTTGCAGCTTCTGACCGATAACAGACTCCTGCACTTTTGTTTGTTTGAGACAATCTTAATGCGAGTTCAACTGCATCTGTTGCCAAGCATTTAGCATTGTTTAATTGTGTATGACCTGTGACTTTACAAGATTACAAAAGGCAATTGAACCAGGTCAGTGAGAAAAGATTAGGTTACTGACATAAACATATTTTTAGATACGTAATGATTAAAGTATTGGCCGAAACAATATGAAACTTTCCCTTAAAACGAATTTTCAATTTCATGTATTTTGTGACAAAATAATCCAGAATAAAATTCATTGAAACACCTATTATATTCGGTTCCCACGTCACTGCACAATATTCTGTTTAAATTGTAGTATATTTTTTTAACATCCAAAAATATACATTTTTAAAAGGCAATTCATTATAAGAAAATCTTGAATGAAATTTATTTAAACAATATTATTTTCGTTTCTTTACGTCACTGCATTATATTGTGTTTACCTTCTAGTCTAAGAAAATAAAAACGCCTGAGATTAGATTACCCATTTAAACAATTGCGGACATCGGGCAACGGAAACCGAACAGTTCTTGACCCAATCACCTCAATCATCTCAGCGCAAGCGAAAACTGTGTCAAAAGCGAATGGGAAAGTTGCCCCACCACACCTGGTGTGAGGAAAATGGGAAATTAGAGACGAGACCTCCGATCTCTGGGATCGCTGCAACTCTTCAAAGTCTCCAGGCCACGGGGTGCAGCATTTGGTTGGATATTTCAGCAAACCCACTCCCAAAATGAGGTTCAATGAACTTGGTAGGCTCGATAAGGCGAAGCAAATTTGTTATTTTGCCGTATTTTAGGTGCAATGGCCTTTCAACTAACAACAAGAAAGAAAAACATTTCTTTTGGCCAAAAATAGCTGGCGAAAAAAAAAGATAATAATTGCGCAGAAAATGCGAGAAGGAGTGAAGCCACAGACAAAAGCAAAAGAAAAAAGTGCAGCACATCATCGTAGGCCAACGTATCTGATGGATACAAACAACTTCAACTGGTTTGGCGGGTGAAAATGTATCTAATCGCTGCCGTAAACTTTGCAAACATATCGCGGAAATTCTCGAATGTTTTTGCGACGCAAAACTTTTATTTCAATACCGCATAATTTACGCCCGATCGGATCACAAGTCAGCCGGTTAATTTATATAGAATACCACCGATCTGGAGCTGAACAAGACAAACTAGTTTGCGTGAGAAATACCTAGGCTAATTCATATGATATGCTGGAAGAAGTCTGGCGGCATTTGCTGAATAATTTGGGCGTTAATTTCGATTTGTTTTGGTCCGCACGTGTTTAGCCTGTTGTTCCCACCATCACGAATTGCCAAGCTGCTTTCGATTTAATAGAATGGGTTTCTTTTCATTTTTATTGACCAACATTAGACTTCCGTTGTTTTATTTTGATATAAAAACAATGAATTCAAACAAAATAGATTTTTAATCCATAAAACTTGGTTAAAACATTTTCCAACAGATAAATTACATTAAGAGAATTTTATAAATACAAAATTATCATGAAGTCCAATCGATTCAATTTCAAAAAATCAATTTACAGTATTTTCTTTTAAAGGTCGTAAGCGTTTTTCTAATCATATTAATGGGGGCCGGCCCGAAGCTTCATTATAAAACAATTTAAGGTCCCATCACTATAGTATTTTGAAATCTAGACGATAAGAGGATTCTCTATATCACTTTATAGTTATAGACATTGTCAAGACGCATTTTCCGAGGCCACATGCAACAAATAAAGTAAAAATGCGGAGACAAAGTCAAATGTAAAATTGCAATTGCATTTTAGCTATAGACAAACAAAACATATATGAATATGCATATTGCGCAATGTTAGAAGGGGAGGGCACTGAAAATACAATAAACATTACACGCTTAGAACGTAATTTTTGCATGATTCCGCCGTTGAGCTTACACAATTGGCGGGCGATAAAACGGAGCGTTCGTTCGGTAAATTATGGAACACGTGTCGTCTGGATTTCCACATGCCAGCGTATTCACCGGATAAAGATTGATAGATTCATTCATGGCCAAAGGAAGACTACCAGACGGTACTTAGTACCGCAGCTGTTTGTCATCTATTTTTGGAATCGCATTTAGATCCTCTGCGGAGGATTTCCTTTTCTGTCCGCAAGTTCGAGTATTCTTTGGGTGTGTATCTTAAGTCGCTGCACATGTTCGACTATTTTTAGCAAGTTTTCCGAACACGTGCAGGCAAAAGGCACATATGTGGAGACTAAAATACCAGGCACTCCGCGATGCTTTGTCCTTCGAGCTGCTTAAGTAACCCAAGTGATTACAGCGACGTTAAGTCATGAAAAGAAATCGAAAACTGCCGGACCACAAAACCAGTTACTGGAAATAACCATAAAAGGAAAGAGGCGGGAAGTGAACTGAGATCAACTCGAATTCCAACTGTCGTCAAAGTGCGCTAAGTGGATGGAAACATTATAAAATACATATCGAGTTTTGTCACTCGAAAAACCTTACAATAATTTTCGGGATTTAATTTATAGAAACAGTATTAAAATACACAAACTTTATTGAATTGTATTAAATGCACAAACTGCATTTGTTATCAGCGAAGAATCAAATCTATTTAAAACCAACCCCAATACAACTTGACAATAAAAGATACAATTTATAATTTGATTAAATAAATCACTGATACATTTTTAAAATACACAAAAACTTTAAAAAGAAAAAAAAACATATTTTGAAATTCAAAAAAAAAAAGAAGGAAGTCATATATTACAACCATTACTTAAAAGGCTCATTCTATTTGCAGAAGTAAAGAAGATTGAATATAAAACCCAATTATTCACTTATCACTTTGGGATTTCATTAAATGATTAACGAACAGAAAATAAAGGAAAAAAGTCGAAATGTAATCAACAGATCGTTAGTAAAAGGGAGAAAGGCAAGCCATTAACGACACATCCAAATTGACAGAAAGAGATGGTCTTACGTCATTAAAAAGAGACGAATGTCTGGTCTACGTGTGAACCGATTGTGCCATTGTTATTGTAACTGCTATTGTAGTTGTTGTCACACTGCATTTGTAATTAATAATGTGATTTCATTTACTGACGAGACGAACTTGAGCAATTTAGAAAAACAAAACACACAACTGCGTTGATAAGAGCATTTTTTCTTTGCTTTGTTGCACTAAAACCAATAAAACAAGATCGGTTAACAAGAAAAATAATGACAACTACGCTGATATGTATGAGATAAAATTGGTCGGCATATTCATATGGGAATTCAAGTATATATTGTGTTAAAGGAGATAAACACACATTTTGTGTGTAGGTGCGTGTTTTTAATGGATACAGAAAACAGCTGATGCAATATCTGGCAGCTGTTGCCGCTTCGAAAAACTTTTCGCTTCGAGCTTTTCACTTTGCGTGTTTTCTGCTGTTTTGATTTGTTTTGCTTTTTATACTGAAAATTAAACAAAAAACAGTCATTCCATATTAATGACCAACAATTTGCGACCTTTTTTTTCATTTTAACTATTTTTATATAAACAAGTATTTTTTTTTTTGAAAGAGATATGATAAAAGTTGTTTGACCTGCAGTATTTGGCTAACTGGTTAAACTGGCGAGAATTTAAAAGGCCTATTATGGCGTTATGCATGATTTATGGGAAATAAGATTTTTTAATATTAAATATTCACAGCAGATTTAACTGATTATTTGCAAATAATGAGCCAAAGGCTCTTTTTGCAATTAAATCGTCCATAAACAAGTAATAGGCAATTAAAAGGTAGTGACGATTTAAATACGTTTAGTTATTTTTCAGCTTGCTTACTTTGTAATCTGATTGGAAATTTTTGCGGCCCAAACCGCGCCTTACAATTGTTTAGATTTCATTATTTCTAAATGACCCTGAAATAGTTCAACACACTTCTAACGCAATCAGTTTGTATATGTATTTATCCTACGCAGTGGTGTTTGCGTATTTTATTTGTATCGCCAAAAGAAATCGCACGTGCGTGTGTCACCGAAATTTTGCTTAGAAATATAGAGAGGGTTATAGAAAATAAACAAAATAAGCAAAACGCAAATGTGGAAGAAAACAAAAAAAAAAAAGGGAGCCATGCTTGGGTCTCAACAAAAGGGCTGTGATTTCTGTAAGAAATTTACTTCGGTTTGGTACAGTGGGTCGGAACATAAAAATTATTTTTTAAATTGTTGTTGGACCCAATCTACTTTGAATAGTTGTTTTTTCTAGACCATTAACTATAATAAATATTTTATTATATGTAATTATAATTATTTTATTATGATTTATTAGCATATTAACATTAAAGACAGAGTAAATAAGCAAAGCACTAAACGATTTCCTATGAAATAGTTTTTCTAACTAGTCATAAACTGACAGTAAAAATGCAGGTAAAATCTTGCTATATCGTTAAGATACATTTTTACTGTAATTTTTCCTACCTGAATAATTGCTTTGTGAACTTTAAGAACTTTTCTATACATATGTATATATGTGTAATAGCAGGCAATGTTTTCGTTTTAAGACCTTTTTGTGTTTGGTTTCTAATTTGCACTATTTTTAATATTTAGCTGCACTGTGATCAGCTGATTTTCGACATTTGGCGAGAGGCTTTTGGCTTTAGGTGTTTTCTGCGTGTTTATCTTTGACAATGGCGCATTGTTAATAACTTTGGAGCTTGTTATTGTATTATTTACAAATGCGACCAAGCCCCGCATTAAAATGAAAACAATAACAACGAATCAGTTGGTGGAAAAACAGGTTAATAACATATGACGGAATTGTTGTTGTTAAGGTTTGATATCTCTTCCAATCCAATTCCCATGTTGGAATTGTGGTTGGAAGATATTTCTGTTTTTAAGTATTCATCCTCTTACCTTGCGATGACGTCCTTTGTAGACGACGGCAAAGGCGCCGTGGCCCAGCATATCCTTGGAGCTATATTCATATTCCCCGACAATATTCATTGCATGCGACAATTTAACAAGGAGGAGGATGCGACGCCTGGAAGTGCTGCTCTCTCCGTCGCCCGCTCTCTCTTTCACTCGGACACCCCCTCGCTCTCACACACACACACTTGTTCTTTCCTTCTCTGCTTCCAATTGCAATTGTGGAAAATGGAAAATCAATTTCTTTCCTTTCAGCCAGCCACTAAAAGGATTTTTTAGCCCTCGACGATCTCTGGTTTTTCACGTAACACCTCCGTTTATTTTGCTGTCCACCTGGCCAGTTGACAATTATCGCGCACTCACTTTAATTTTACTTGTAATTGAATTAAACTGTTCTTTTCCGTGTGTGATTGTGTCGGTTTTTTTTAGTGTGGTATTGCTTTTAATTTGGGGTCCCACACTTGCATACATACACGCACACACACGACAGGATTGATGGCACACACACTCGCAAGCACGCACTGTATGATTTCCTTTCGGTTGTAAGAAAATTTGTCCTTTTGGTCCCAGCGAAAACTTTGCAAATCTCAATTTTCCAACTACTTCGCGAGAGAGACTAGTGGAAAAAGGCAAGACGAAAACACAACTAAGCGAGGTGGTGGTGGTGGGGTTGGCTAGTGTGGCTGCAGGTGGCAAGAGACAATACGCCGCCTCAGCTGGGGAAATATACTAAATCTTAAAATTAAGTTCTCTGAAATAAATAAAAAAATTCAAATTATTTCATATGGCTAGAAATATTAAATTTGTGTTACAAATTTGAGAACAAATACAATTTAATTATTTCATAAAAAAGATTAGCGTTCTTGCGTTTTAGAGTCCCGATTGTTTATAAAAATGGTTAAACAAAAATCGTTACTTGACGTGTTTACATATCTTTATATAAACTTAGACTTTTCTTATAAAATATATTAAACATAAGTTGTTCCATCAACAAAATAATAGCATTCTAAATTCTTGCGCTTTCGAAAGTGCGTTTCAAAGCATGAACTTAGAATTCAAATATTTTATTTTCTGTTTTCATTAATTATTTAGCTCTGATATTAAACTCTTTGTTGTTAAAAAAATGTATCTGGGAAACAATAATAAACCTTTGATATTTTTGGATTCGTTGAGAAATAATTTTTCCGAATCAAAAAGCTTTTTGTATTTTTTCCGATAGTCGAGAAAATGTAAGCAAATGCACATGGTAACACTAACAATTGTTGAGCGATAAACAGCAAAACAAAACAAAAAGTGAAATCCATTTAATTAAAAGAATACCCGGCAAAATAAGCTCACGATTATTCGTTGAGCTCAGGAAGCACTGGTAATTAGCATAAAAGGCAGAAGGCAGATAAAACATTACACCACCGCGATTCGCGGCTGTTCATGGTAGATCATTTGTTGATACACGTGCAATCAGCTGATTTTGAATTGTTGATAATGGGTGTATCAAAAAAAGGCCGGAAATCGGGTATGTAATGTAAAGGAAAATTCTTCTAATTTATGAAAACAAGGTGATTTTTTTATTTTAGCCAAAGAATCTTTGAAATCCTTACAAAAAGATAAAGAAAATATAGCGTCGAAAACGCCTGTCGTCAATGTAAGTAAGGCCAATAATGATGTTAATCCCTCTGAAAGAAAAAATTCAAGGAATTCAGGCAAGAAAACTCCTGAAAATGTTCCCAAAACAGCCAAAAAGAGACGTTCCGCTAAGGATACAGATACCACAGCCTCTAAAAGACCATGTATAGAAGCTAATTTTAACAATAACGAGGAAATGCAATTCGCTAAAAATTTAGTTGGTAAGCAAGGAACACCCGCATTTAATGAATTCCTAAATTTATTAATAGAGGAAAAATGTCTGAAAGTTCTGAAAGAAAAAGGAATAAAGACAGCAAGTATGTCTAGTATTTTGGATAAATCATATAATAATGCCAGCAAAGCCTTCAAAGATCTGTATAACCTGTGGCTTGATAAACATGGAAATAGAACACAATATTTAACCACTTTGGAAAAGCATGGCATAAATTTATCAAATATGTCAAGCATCTTAAGTGGATCAGGATCAAATTCTGCAAAATCGTTCAAAGATTTATTTGATCTGTGGTTTGACGAGCAAGGAAATAAAACACAATATTTAAAAGCTCTAGAAGAAGAAGGAATTAATTTACCGAATATGTCTGGTATCCTAAGTAAAGCAGGATCAAATTCTGCAAAAGCTTACAAGGACTTGTTTGACCTGTGGTTTGACGAACACGGAAATAAAACGCAATATTTAACTACTCTGGAAAAAGAAGGAATAAATCTGCCTAATATGTCCAGTATTTTGAATGGTGCGGGTTTAAATGCTGTTAAAGCTTTTAAAGACTTGTATGATCTATGGTTTGACCATCAAGGAAAAAAAACACGATACTTAAATACTTTAGAAAAGGAAGGGATAAATCTATCTAATGTATCCGGTATTTTAAGCAAAGCAAAGGCAAATGCTGCGAAATCATTTAAAGACTTGTATGACATCTGGTTCGATGAGCAAGGCAATAAAACGAAATATTTAAAGACTCTGGAAAAGCAAGGGATAAATTTAAGAAATGTATCTAGTATTTTGGGTGGAGCAGGATCAAAAGCAGCGAAGGCTTTTAAAGACTTGTATGACCTGTGGTTCAATGAAAATGGCCGTAAAACTCGACATTTAAGATCTCTTGAAGAAAACGGAATTAGTTTACCAAATATATCCAGTATACTACACAGGGCAGGATCAAATGCGGCAAAGGCCTTTACAGATTTATATGACCTGTGGTTCGATGAACAAGGTAACAAATCCCACTGTTTGAAAACCTTAGAAATAGAAGGGATAAGTCTTACAAGCATATCCGATATTCTACATGGAGCAGGTTCTAATGCGGCAAAATCTTTCAAAGAGTTGTATGAATTGTTGTTCGACGATCAAGCGAACAGAACACAGTTTTTGAAAACATTAGAAAAGGAGGAAATAAATCTGGCCAATATATCTAGTATTTTAAGTGGATCTGGCTCTAATGCTGCGAAAGCCTTTAAAGACTTATTTAACTTGTGGTTTGACGAAGATGGAAAGAAGGCTAAATATTTAAAATGTTTGGGAACTGAAGGAATAACCCTATCAAACATGTCCAGTATATTAAGTAAATCAGGGTCTAATGCTCCCAAAGCTTTCAAAAACTTGTATAGCATTTGGTTTGATGAAAATGGAAAGAAAACCCGACAACTAAAAGCTCTAGAAAATGAAGGAGTTAACATTGAAAACGTTTCAAGTATCTTACATGGTGGGGGGTTGAATGCTCCTAAAGCCTTTAAAGAGTTATGTGATCTTTGGTTTGACGACGACGGAAAGAAGACACAATACCTAAAAACCCTCGAAAAAGAAGGAGTAAATCTTACTAATATGTCCAGCATTTTAAGTGGATCAGGAATTAACGCTCCAAAGTCATTTAAGGATTTATACAATGCTTTTTTCGATGAAAAAGGAAAGAAAACCCGACATTTAAAGCATTTAATAAAGAGAAAGGAAGAGGAGAATTTTACTATGCATAATATATCCGGTATTTTGAGTGGATCGGGAGCTAAAGCCGTAGATGCTTTTAAGGAATTCCACAACGCCTGCTTTAATGAGGATGGAAAAAGAACCAAACTATTAGATGATTTCTATAATATAGGCTTTAAGCCAAGTAACCTATCCTCCATTTTATGTAGAGGAGGAATTCGTGCTTCTTTCATTTTAAAAACCTTCTATAGTGTTTGTTTTAATGAAGAAGGAGAAAAGTCAAAACTTTTACATGATTTCTATGATATAGGTTTTAAGCCAGTGGATTTATGTAGTTTATTGAGTGGAACAGCAGGTGGCTTAGAAAGACTGCACGAATTTTGCTTTTTGGGAAAGTCAAAGAAGTATCTTAGTCATTTCTTACATGATATAGAAGGCTTTTCGCTGAGTAATTTGTGTAACATATTACACGGAGCAGAAGATAACGCTTGTTCGGCTTTAAAAGATTTTCATGATATTTGTTATGACAGCAGAGGTAAAAGAACCATATTTTTAGATAATTTTTATAATGCTAATTTTAGTTCAAGTGATTTGGCTGGTATATTGTCCATGACTGGAAATAATGCATCTTCTATTTTAAGAAATTTTCATCAATCTTGCTTTAATAGTGAAAATTATTTAAAACACTTCCTAGCTAAAAAAAAAGTTTTCAAGCCAAAAGATTTATGTAAAATATTATATGGTGCAGGTACTTATGTTTGTACTACCTTTGAAAAATTGCATCGTCTATGTTTTGATGAAGCAGGATCCAAAACAAGTTATTTAAAAAATCTTATGAAAAATTACCCATCGAATGAGATAATTTATATACTATACCAAAAACTAAGAAAATCTTCTTCTACTTTAATAGATTAAACATAGTTTCCAAATTTTTTAGTGGAATATAAAATAGGAGAATGTTTATATCATTACCCTTTTTTATTACATTAATAATAGAACAGTTTAAGAATTATTCATTTAAATCAAAATAGCTCAAGATAAGTATAAGTACAAAACAAACCAAGAGAACAAATAAAATTTATAATTTTACGAAGAAATCTGAATCTCAAGTAATTCACTTTTCAAAATTAAGTAAATATTTATTACTGATAGTTTTTGAAATGCATATTTCTTGTTTATTTAAAAATGTTGTTTATAAAATCTTTATTAAAATTCATATTATTGACACAAATAAATAACAGTATATTATAACGTATTTTTCTCTAAAATCATTATTTGGTATTTTCTTTAGCTTTTGAGTATTTTTAAGCCAACTATCGTTTAATATTTTTAGCGATAGTTGAGAATAACTAACTATCAGCATATGGTAACGCTGACTGCTATTAAGCAAAGAAAGAGCAGAAAAACATTTGGAAAATTAGTCTGATTAATAGAAAGCGCGGTGAAAATAGTAATCCGTTATTTGCAGAGCGGTGCGTGAGTTTCTGATAAGCATAAAAGGCAAGTTACTGCAATAATACTTGGAAGTATCGCAGATCTTTGCTTGTTTTTGTAGGCGTGCAGAGAATTTGTGGATACATAGTGAACAGTGATAAGAAGAGAAAGAGACTGTAGAGCATATAAAACGTGGGAATCTGATTCCAAGCTTATGTGTTTTTCAGATTATCGCAAATATAAACTGGAATAATGAGTGCGTCGAGTGAAGGCGGCACGGGTGGAGTTCCAGGGGGCGGAAGTACAGCTACAGCGCCATCAGGTAAGTTCGCCGATATCCAAGTGGAATATTTATATTTATATACGTATAATATACGTGCAAGCCCCATGTGTCCGTGTATGCGTCTGTATACATAATATTTGTGCACCTCTCTCTTTTGCTCTCCCATACGCGCACTGTTTGTTTTCTATTCCTCTTTGCGCCTTACTTTCGCTTTGCTGCTCTCTTCTCTTCGTACTACTCTGTGTGTATGTGTTTGTTTTGTTGTTACTGTGCATTCGTGGCAGGGTTGCCAACATTTCTAGAAAGTTATTGTTCTCCTCGTCTAAAAAAAAGATTTAATCGTTGGGCTTTGAATATAAATATAAAGAAACAAAAAATTCTTTGCTTATTTAAAATAATTAAATTAGTCAAAAGTAGATGTAAGCCTATACATTTTTATCAAAATACCTACAATTATTTATTTTTCTGAGAAGCTTAAATTTGTTAATTGTCCAATTGCAAAGAAAAGGTTTGACAATAAAAAAAGAAATATGTACCATTAAAAAAAATTATATTTTAAGACCGAATTTAAATTAAATTAAGATTTAAACTTGCAGAGTTTTAAACTAGGTCATTAAAATAAAAACTAAACCATTAAAAACAAATTTATTTTTAAGTTTAAGTCCCAACGATTAAAACAATGTCGATTGTTTCACCTGTCCGTCCATTCTTTGTGTTTCGTGTGGAACTTTTAACCGAAATCTCACAGAAGAACACACACTGCCACTCCTACCCGCACAGCCCCCCTGAAAACCATTAAGATACGTCCCCAACAACTGCATCCCCATGCACTGCCATCGTTGTCATTGCTGCCATCTTTATATCCATCATCATCATCATTATTGGCAGCCACTGGATCATTATCCGCATCTGCATCCGCATCCGCATCCCTGGTATCGCACTCACATCCGCCCCTGCAGCTGCGCGGCGTCATAAACAAGTACTCATTGCCATCCCATTTGCCATCCTCTGCAGCGCACTCGTCGGTGGCCGCCAAGATTACACACGTGAAATCCGACGGCAGCGGTGGGATATCCATATCGGGCACCCCGATCCTCAGCGGCGGCACCTTCAAAGTGGCAGCAGCCAATCCCGTGCAGCAAACTTCTCTGGGCACACCAATTGCTCTGAATGCAGGACAAGCCACTACGGCGGCTTCCATACGAGCCATTGGCGCAGGTGGCCAGTCCACACAAGTCCGGGTGGTGATGCCCATGATCAAGCAGCTGGAGAATGTAACGGCCACGGGCAGGACACAGATTACGGCCATACCAGCTGCTCCGGCAAGGAGTGGGGCGAATGCATCGATCACCGTGACCAGGCCCGTAACCCAGGCCACCTATCTGCCGCGAGCCAGTGTGACGGCCACCCAGATGGGAGGCGTTGGTGTGGGAGTTGGCCAGCGGCTCGTAACGCCCCTGAGAGCTACATCCTCGGCCACCGTGACGCCCGCGGCACCGACAGTTCTCAGCTCAACCGGAGGATTTGTTCGCGGAGCGACTGCCTCGGTGAGCAGAGGTGGAGTGGCACTTTCCGCCCAACCACCATCGGCGGTGATCTCGTCCAGCAATAGTGCTGCTTGGATGCAAAGTTCCACGGGACAGGTCCAACTGATCCGTGCTATTCCTCAGCCACGCCAGAGGATTATAACGACATCTGCGGGCATTTCCAATGCCAGTGTGGTGACCACTACTCCAGTGCAGGCGCCAACAGGTAAGTTATTATATGGATTATACTCTGTAGCAACACTCTAATCGTGATCCTTTACAGCACTATCCGTTACAGCAGGCCAGCCACTGACGCCACAACAAGCCGGGGGTCCTGGCGGAGGTCCTCAGGCTTATGTGGCCACTGTATTGCCTCAAAGGCAGCACCAGGCTACATTAGTTTACTCCTCAAATGTGTCTACGCCCAACGTGAGTCAGAATCCTGGGCAGCAATTTAATCCTCGCTTTGCTGTGGCCACGCCCACGGGTGGAGTGACGACCACGACACCCGGAGGAACTACAGTGACACCACGACAAGTGCGTCCCATTCCGTTGGGAAAGAGTTTTCCAGGCACAAAGCTGAACACCACGAGCATAAGCATTAGGGCTCCAAGCATCCCGCAGCTGGGTACCAGCGTAACGGCTTCGCCAACACCCGTGAGTGTTTCCGGTGGAGCAACAGTGGCGCCCGGGCGGGGTCCCGGCGCAGGAGGAACTGCTCTGACGGCCACCAATATGCCCACCACGCGGATCATCCAACTGCAGCAGCCAGCGACGGGAACCACTCAGCAGATCATCGGATCCGCTGCACGTCTGGCCGGGAATGTAATGCTGCAACCCTTCTTGATGAGCACCACTGCGGCGGCTAAGATGGGTAAGTTACGTTCCCAGTGTAATGATTGTGAAAGCTATTGAGCAGGTGTACCTGAAAAGTTATAAAGGGACAAACAAACATTATAAATAGTAACAAAAATAAGAGAGTTACATTCACCTTTCTGTAAAGGTGGTCAAAGTTGTTCAAAGAGTTGTTGCATTTCGTAAAAGAGCCAATGGTCTTACCATAGTAAACAAAGTGAATTTGCAAAATAAAATTAGTGTGTTTAAATTATGTTCAGTCGGTTTCTAATCATCGACTTCTTAATTTAATTAATTAAAAACAAACAACTAGGAATGAGAACTGTGTTGAAAATAGTTTTCCAACACTATTCATAATCGATAAAAAATTTGAAGTAATCAATTTAATTAATTAAAAACTAGGAAGCGGTGAACTAAATATCATTTCAACACTGGAATCAAAATTACATTTCTTGGATAGAAGTGCATTACATTGAAAGTCATTTGCTCTTATCAATTGCGGACAATATCTTCGTTCATACTTGAATTCTACAAGCGACTGTGCGGATTTCGTTGTTCGAAAGCAGGAAAAGTTAATCAAAGGACCGAAAACCTGAAAAAAGGAAGATAGTCAACCAGTCAAGGATCGGCGATGGACAACTCATTTTCCAGCCTTTTTTCAAACGGGGCTGATAGGGACTACAAAACAATGACAGAGCAAGTTGGCAAAAATCGGCAAATAAGCCGCAAAAGTGTCGCGTTTCTCAGCCACCGCACATCTTCTGGATCACAGACCCAGGTGGCCAATAGCCTGCTGGTCCTCGAGCGGCAGCAGTTGGAGCGAGAGCGATACATTGACCTCATCCGCAATCAGTGCTACACAAGCCCCGTGGTTAAGACAAATCCAGTTTTGCAGCAAGGGAAGACTCCTCAAATATTTTCCAGCACCAATTTATCGTCCATCGATGATTCCATGGACCTCAAATCTACTGAGAATCTGACTCTTGCGAATGTTAATCCCGTCACGCCTTCTGAATCATCTGCCCAAGTGGAGGTCATGATTCAGGCCATTCATCAACACGTCATCTTCATCCGCAAACTAACCAGCAACAACCTCGTAGTCAAACCTAATCAATCTGCGCAGACCCCCAAGGGCGGTCAGAATAACGGCGAGGTAAAGCAGCAAGTGAATACCTCACCGGTCCACAAAATGGCCCTGCAACGTCGACGGTTTACCAGCAGCATGTTCTTGAAGGATGACTACGTCGAAAACTTCAGGCAGCGGTCAGCGCAAAAGGACGTAGATTCCAAAAAACTTCGGGAACGAGCAATTCAGAAGGCTGAAAAGGTTAAAAAGAGACGTCTTGTCTTCGAACGCGGTTTGTACGAGAAATTCTGCATTGACCAAGATATCCCCAAGCCTACTACTACCTATACTGCGAATAACACGGTTGAAAAGGAAGAAAACGGGCTTATTCCGATGACCAATGAGGACTTTAAGTATTTGACTAATTTAGCTGAGGGTGATCCCCAGCAGGTGCTTGTGAACAAGTTCAACATTAACATCACTCGCAGCGAAATCCAAATCCTAGTTAATGGCAGGTGGCTCAACGATGTGGTAATTAATTTTTACATGAACCTATTGACCGAGCGCTCGGAGAAGTCGCGTCTCTTCTTGCCCAGTGTGTATGCCATGAACACCTTTTTTGTGCCACGCCTGCTGCAGAGTGGTCATGCGGGCGTAAAGCGGTGGACACGGAAGGTAGATATTTTTAGCAAGGACATCATCCCGGTGCCTGTGCATTACAACAACGTTCATTGGGGCATGGCCATCATCCATATGCGTAACAAAACTATTCTGTACTACGATTCGTTGGGTAAAGGCAACCAAAAAGTGCTGGACGCACTGGAGGAGTACCTGTGGAATGAGTCGCTGGATAAGCGCAACCAATCTTTTGACACCCGCGACTTTCGAATTAGTAATGTGAAAGGTTTGCCGCGTCAGGGGAACAACAGTGACTGCGGCGTTTTCAGCTGCATGTTCGCTGAGTACCTCACGCGGTATGCTCCACTCACCTTCACACAGGATAACGTAGACTACTTTCGAAAAAAGATGGCCCTGGAGATTGTCGACGGCAAGCTGTGGTTGTAGGCGCTTTATTGAAATTAGAAGAGAATGCCACTAGAAGATTAGGACATCATTAACGCAGATACTATATTTTAGATAAAGCGCTACCAAGTTACCATGTTTTAATGGTTCTTTAATTAAAAAAAAAAAAACAATTTGGATTGTTGTGCTTTCCTTGGGGTTTCGAAAAGTTTTGGAGCTTGGTCACTTAAATACTAATATTTTATTTCCTTTTTACATTCTGCAGGCATTCGACCACCTGTTACCATGACCGCCAAAGTCCAACCATCGTTGACCATTACCCAACTAAATCCCATTGGAAAGTTGTCGACCGCGGGAGGAACCGGAGCGCCCACAATGACGCCGCAGGGCGTGGCCAGCATTCAGGCGGTACCAGTGCCGAATGTTTCGGCCAGTGTGGTCAATCCCAGTTCTGTTGCAGGGGCCACTTCGGCAGCTGGAGGAGCGACTGTCCTGCCCTTAACTGTCAGCGGAAGAGGAGGAGCGGTGGGTCCAGGTGGTAACATCCTCACGGGCACTCTGACGCCCATCAAGAATGCTCACGGCATAACTCTGGGAAAGATGATGATGACACCGGCCACGTCTGCGCCTGGAGGAGATGCATCCGGCACTAGCGGAGCAACCGTGACGGGCTTCCAACGCGCATGGAATCCGGTGGTGGCTTCACAGAGCCAATTGATGAAGGTATGTATGTTTTCACTACGACCTGCTTTATAATTCGCTTAGCTTTCTTGTTTAAAAATTTTAAAATTATAACTTCAGCTTTTTTAATAAAATTTGGTTTATGGTGTTATGCAATAATTTTATAATTTATGCAACATAAAGTTAAATCTAAAGTTTTCAGGACACTATGAAATTGGTGTTCCTATCTTTAACAATAAATAATAAATTATTTTTTTAAGTAAAACTGATCTAAAGGAAAATTAGCGAATAATTTTTTTGTTTTTTAATTAATGTGGTTCTATCCTTACAGATTGATGAGAAGGGAAGTGCTGCTACGATTTATTACGAATCCATGCCGGCGTCCGCCTCCACGGGCGTTCTATCATTGACGACGACAACGGTGACGCAGAGCACCCAGGCCCAGGCACAATTGGTAAGCAGCACCGGCGGTAGCAGTTTGTCGGTTTCTTCGCTGCCCTTCGCCAGTCATGCATCAACTGGAGCGGGATCAGCCGGAACCGGATCGCAGGCCACTTTTACTGTATTGCCATCAGGTGCCGGAGGAGCTGCTACCCGAACAATTGGCCACCAACAACTGATTATACCAGCAGGACCAAACAGTGCGCCGCCGCAGCACATGGTTATTCCGCTGCATACATCCGTGAAGGTGACAACGGGAGCGGGCAATCCGCAACAGGCAGCAGGAAGTGGAGCACTAGTTTCTAGCTTCATGCGCAAGCGGGATGCAGAAGGTTCGCCCATCCGGGCGGCCAAGAATCTGGGACCCACCTTACTCTCAATGGCTAGCAATACCAGTGGTCCAAATATGACCCCGAATCCGGGCACAACTTTCAATATCCAGCCAGTATCGGTGGCGGTGCCTCCATCAGTTAGCTCCGGACTCACTGTAGAAGCGCTGGCCAAGAAAGAGCGGGAGCGTGTGGCCCATGGAGTGGCAAGCAATGCGCCCAGTGTGGCTGCCACAATTGGCACTGTCTCCTCAACGAGAACAGCCCGGGCAGACTCGCCAGATTCGTCGGATGGCTCAACAACAGTGTCGGCAAATTCCTCGCCTGGTGTGGATCAGCAATTACAGGATAGGATTGGGGATCCGCCAGCAACTGGAGGAGCCAGTGGGCGCGATAATTCCACACATTTTAATCCTATTACTGAGGTGGGTACCAAAATAGGCACCGTGAAATATAGCTAACCAAATTTTCGTTAATTTAAAGTTGTACTCTTCGCATCAGTCGATGCAGCAGAGCATTGGCCATTCCTCACTTGGAGCCCGCAGTGGGAGCAGTGCCTTCGTGGACGTGCAAGCGCCGACGCCCCAGCAACAGCAGCCTCAGCAGCAGCCACCTCATCTGATGGGATCCGCGCAATTGATACAGCAGGCGGGAACGCGTGTGAATGGAACTGGCAATAGCTCCAGCTCTAGCTACGACTGTTCCTCCAGGAAGAAGCCACGTCGATCAACGTGAGTTGAACGGATTTGAAATAGTCTATGGCAATTGAATAATCTATAATTGTATCCCCCAGTAATGACAGTCAGCACTCCACGCAGAGTCAAGCTTCCTTGTCGCTACCTCCACCCAGTGCAGAACCTACGCCGCCGGCTGGCGCATCCTACATGCAAAAACACAACAATGGAGGTCTGCTGGTAACAGCGGCGACACCGGGAGTAGCTCCAAATAGTGCGCCGGCCGATGCCAACCATCGGAACAGTGCACCCGCTGTGACGGGCAACAAGGAGAACGCCAATCCGGTTGACTTTGTGATACGTCGTCCGCGCAATTGTGCCTTGCTTAATGTGAGTTAAATAGGAAGTCCATTTTGGTTTTATTCTCTTACTCCCATTGACTTACAGACATATAAACCCACCCACAAGTTGGCCAACAATCATTTCCATCGGTATACGGATGTGAAGCCAAGGGAGGAGCGACGGGCCACAGTTATTGATCTAGCCAATCAACCAAATGTCCAGGGCAAGATTAATGGATGGAAAATATATCATTTGCGCTCCCAAATGGAAGACTTGGTAAGAAATATGAATGCAAATTTAAAAACAACAATCAATCAACAATCTGTTCTTTCGCAGAATGAATCAGAGGTTATCAGTCTGGGGAAACTGGAGACAATGCTGCAAGATTTGGAAAAGGACAAGGAAAAGCACAGCGAAATGGAGCGTGTCACTGAACTGCTAAAGGTAAGTTACATAAAGTTAACTTATCTTAATTCCAAACTAACAACCAAATGATTTTACAGGGCAACATTCAGCGCAGCAAGATTATTACCGATGGCATCAACGAGGCGCAGAATCAGTTAATGAAGATCTTCGAGCACAAGCCACATGTCTCGGACATTATCAACCGATGTGCTTCAAAGAGGAATTTTAAGAAGCGCGAAAAGATCTAAAATCATTTGACAGAAGAAAACCCAGCCAAGTGTATTGTACATTGCCTAGTTTAAGCAAACAGATATAATTTAAAATAATTACCTTAAACGCGATCGATTTGTAAGACGTACAGTTACAAAGAAACCAGCAATATTTTTTCAATTTCTTAAGTCGGTAAAAAATACAAAGCACTCGAGTTGTATTAAGTAGAAAAGTGTCAAGTGTTTTATTTGAAGGGATTCCGGAGTCTTCCGTTAATCTAGATAAGCTAGTTAATAGCCTTAAATCAAATATACAAAACACTCGAGTTCTATTAAGTTAAAAATATATTCCTTTAAAGGGATACCGAGCTGTTGCTGTAGTTCCTCCGTTTTTGGTGGACCAACCAAAACAATGTAAGATCTCCATAGATTTCAGCGGACGCCCTGGTTAGATAGGATGCTCTTTTACATTGGAGGCGGTGGAGGGACGCCATTGAACATGGGATGCATGGCTGGACGTGGCGGACCCGGCATGGGGAATCCACCGGGAGGTCCCATCGAACGATGAAGATTCGGCGGCGGTGGCGGCAGGATCTTGGGTTCGAACTTGAAGGCGAATTGCAGGAAGAACTGCTTTGTGTCACGGTTCCAGTGCGTCCAGAATTTGCCCTCGCTCTTCTCCACTTCTCGCGAGGGAACCTTAAATCCAATGGTCTCATATGGCTCGGAGGCGAATAGAAGATACTGCCACTTGCGGTCTGGCGGCTCGATCTTCTGCTCGTAGGCGGACATGAAGCGATGGCGCGGTACAATGGCTTCCGTGATTTCCGGATAGTCAATCTGGAACAGCAGCGACTGTTGGCCGTTGGTGGGATCCCGTTGCTTTGTCACCCGGTAGCCGGGTCGTCCGATCTTCACAAACTTCTTCGGTTCCACGCGGGGCTTCTCTGGCGCCAGCAACGATGATGGTGCCTCCTTGGCCTCCTTGGCGGCTCTCCTGGCCAGATTTTCCTGGTGCTTCTTGCCCTGCGTGTGGGCCAAGTAGCTGCCCTCGTTGTTGTGGAGTGTTAGGCATAATTTACACTCGTAGGACCCCAAATGGTTTTTCATAAAGTACGGATCCTTGTTTAGATCGATAGTCTCCAGGGCCAGTTGCCGTAGACGCTCTTTGCGGTCGCGGTTCGTCTCCGACCAGGAGGCCACGCCTCCGCTGCCGGTCTTGCCGCCGGCGCGGTTCTGGAAGTCCATAGCTTGTACTTTAATTGATTTTCAATTCGTTTGGAAAAAAAAACGTTTTCGCGTTGGTAAAAAATTTCCGAAAATTGTTGTTGGAGGTGTACCATACAGGGTTGTCAACGGCTGCGCAGTTAGTGGTGGTCGTTTTTTAGAGCTATACGATAGTTAATGGGCATGGTACAATAAAAATACAAAATCATTAATGTCGAAAATTGCAAAGGCAAAAATAAGGCAACAGCGAGGAAATGCCACAACAGCCAATTTTTCTTCCATAAGAAGTACATGTGCTGCGAGAAACAGTCGCTACAACCACTAACCATACAACATATATGGTTAGTGCTACAACTCACAATTAAGATTAGTGAAGCCTTGAAATTCGGTTGGATTCAGTATTTTTAAATATTTAAAGATTTATTACAGAAGGAACTTTGGGCCAGGACAGCTATTTTAACCGTCAGTTGTTAAATGTTATTAAAAACTCAAATGCCCATTCATTTTTAAAAAATTATAAATAAATATCGGACAACTATAAAAATAGTTTTTCTAGTCGGACAAAGAGCTGGACGACGAGGAAATCTCTCAAATGGATTATATTGCATTTGCAACAAACTTTGTATTTAATTTTGCGTTATTATCCATTTTATGGGTGGAAAAACAACATCAGGTTTCTATGTTTTTGGATCGCAACAACTCATTTAGGCGACTGTTCGAAAACCGAATTAATCAGCCAAACAGAACTATTGTGAAATTTTCGGCACCGTATAACCTTTTGTACCAATTTGTAGAATTTGTATAAGTTTATTTTGAATATTGCTTGTATGATATATTTAAAAAATACAAATCTGTTTTAGTAAATTTTTTAATATGGTATTTTTCAATTAAGATACGCGGTCACACTAGAGATTTGAGTTGCACATGCTTGGTCTTCTTTTATATTTTAAAAGTGAAAAAAGTTCAGACAAGGGTCTAAAATAAGGTATAAATAGTGTTTGTGAAGCATATAAAGCCAGGAAGACCGCAATATATTCAATAATCAAGACTTGGCTATGACCGGATGAAAAAAACCAAACCAACGACAGGCGTTCAACCAATACGAGTGTGTAAAAGAATAGTGATTTCTGTCGTCATTTTCATGGAAAAGCTGTTGCGATCTTGAGAGAATATTCTTTAAACAGCAGAAATGGACGGTACCGGGAGGCAGGTCATCATGGGTCCACCGGCGCCAGTGGCCAGCACCTCTAATGAACCCAGTCCCGGTAATCCAAGTAATGCCCCTCCTTCCGAAGCCACCAAAAGCGCACCTCCGCCCAAGCGGATAATTAAGAAGATTCAGCTGGACTTCAACAAGCTAAAGCAAGCGGGACTGGACAGGCAACTAGCCGAGGTCCTGAGAAATCAAAAATTGGGAGCCCAGAAGGTAGAAACCCCATCATCCAGTATTCCTTCGCCCTCTGCCACTGCGCAGTCGACGTCGAACACAGCAGAGTGCACATTGCAGCAGCCACAACAACAATTTCGTCAGCCTGGTAATTAATCTTTATTTTTGAATTTCTGTGCTTTTCTCAAAAGCCATTAGCCGGGTGTTTTGCCAGGTATTCATAATTTCATCTAAATGGGTGTACGAGTTTGGGACTAAGTGTTGAAAACCGATGCGGTGGCGCAGCTGCTTGAGGCGACGGCGGATTGTTTAGAAAAGAGTTCTTTCGGGTCGATTATTCACGAGTTCGTTCCATGGCGAAATGCTTCTTCACTTTTACTTTTATTACCGCCTACAAATATTTTATTTTCATATATAGTACAACATTTTTACATAAACGACACCAAAGGGACTGGAAAAAATTGGGTTTCATTAGTTTTAAATTGGGATTTATGCACAATTTTAAACATCTGGCTAATTAATGTTATCTCATATTTCGCTTGTTAAATTTAAACCTAAATTGCTTACATATAACTGTTTTTTAACGGTTATGTCAATTATAAATATTTTTTTTTAATTTAAAATTGTTATTAAAAGCCATAATTTAAGACCTAAATTAAACATCAAAAATAACGTAAACAAATTTGCGGAATACCGTTTTTGTCTACTGGTTTTCAGGGTGAGATTAAAAATAACAAGCGTACAAGAATTAACTTTAAAAAATCAAACTTGAATCGTTTTTTATTTTTATAGGTACAAATAAGCTTGACTTTTGCCTACTTTTTGAATTCATTTTATGAAATTATGTATTTTAACGTTTTAAATTTTAAGCATTTTAATATTTAATAAAAGTTTTTGAAGGCTTAAAGTTTGTTGTAAAAGGTAGGGTATAACTTATTACCTAACACTTAACAAAATCCTCTGAGTTAATAAACTATAATGTCCATTTATGTGTGGACTATTTTTTTTTTGAATTTCCACTCTATGAAGTAGCTTCAAGTGTCACTTTCGCCACTATCATTTATATTCTTTCGATGGTCCAACCTGTAAATGCGGGCTGCAAATGAGGTTAGGGACGAAATGTCGATGCGAGGCAGTGGAGTTCGCTTTTTGGCCCGGGTTCAAATCCCAGCATGGTCCAACTGCTGTGTTTGTGTGTATGTGTTTGTTTTTGTTATTATATGCTCCATCTGGCTTAATTTACTGTTGCTTTAACTATGATTTCCATTTTTGACAGGAAACGTTTTATCTTTTCTTTTAAGAAATAATATTACTTTTCATAAGTAAAATTGGGATTTAACTTTCATAGTCAGAAAATTTTCATCTATTTAGCAAATTGTTATTATTAAAATTATAAATTAAATTATTTTATTAAACTAATTTTTATATTAAAATTTATCAAAATTTGTAACTTATGCTATATGGTCTTAGGCAATATTTAGCAAAATGAAATCCATGTAAAAATTCTTATATACATATGTATGAGCATAAAGCTTGTTTTAGGGGTAAAAAATATTATTTTTAAAATGCCTTTACATTTTAATTGTTGTAATTGTAATATTGTCCATCCTTTTCCTTCGCAGCACCGCAGCCCATGGTAAAGCGTTTTATGATCTCGGAATTTATAGAAAAGTCGGTGCCTATACAGACGACACCTATCCCGACAGTGTACAATACGACGAATGCCAATCGTTCCAAGCACGTCAAGACATTGTTAAAAAACAGGATACTAAACAAAAACATTAACATCAATTCCCAGCCTCAGCAGATGCCAACAACATCCAAGGCGACGTCGCCATCCTCTGCCCAGGGATCAGCTCCTCGGAGTGCAGCTCCGCCTGCAGCCTTCTCCCTGCCCATTGCCAAGGCGGACTTGACTATTCGCCAAAAGCAGCCACCACTGCTGCTCAATCTTGTGAACCAACTGCCCAAACACCGAGACTTGTGCGGATCGAGTAACAAGACGTTAATGAAGCAGCCGGAGATACCTGAACAGAATCATCCAAAGTCATCATCTGTACAGCAAATGGCATACAGTCCACAAAGGATTGCTGTGCAGCAACCACCGCAGACGTCCACCCAGCTGCTGCCACATCATCCGTTTCAGCCATCTCCACAAGTTCCTGTACCTCAATCAGTTTCGGCTGTCCCCATTACACTCCACAAGAGCCCTTCTCCGCCACTGATTGTGCTGGAGAACAAGGTGTTGGCACCCAACGAAAAGATTGATTTGAGTGGGCTGCGACTGCCAAATGCTCCGGTGTCCACGACATTGTCACAGGTTAAACCTTCAGAAAGCCCCGTTCAAACCAGTATCCAATCCAAGATTATTAAAGGCAAGATAATTATGAATGCCAATAAGTTCAAAGTGTCGCGGGAAAAGCTGGCCGAGATGGCCAAAGAGATTCGCCATCAGGTGAAGCAGGTTAAACTCCCGCAAACACCGGAACCAGTTTCCTCAAAGGACTTTACTTCAACCACTGAAAGGCCATTCACTATTACCACGATACTTCAACAAAATAAGCCGCCTCTTTTTACTCCTGCAACTCTCGAGGGAAATAACGTGTATAATCCGATGCAACAGGACAACGAATTGCCAGCTTGTTCTGGTTCAAGTATAATTTCAAATCCCTTACCTGTAGATAATTCCTCGACTCTGGAACCGAAACAGATGTTTGTGGCTGAATCGAAGGAGCCGAAAGAGTATCCTAAAGAGAAGGCAGCAGAAGCAAGCCCTCTTGAATTTCCGGTTTATATTCCATCAACTCTTGATGTAAAACTGTTGCCTCAACTAGATCCCAATTCCACAAATACTCTTCAGTTGTCTGAACATAACCCTGTTACTCCGGAATCTGCTCCTGAGCCAAAGGAATATTGCAAAGTTGTTGCTACAAAATCAAGTCCTCCCAAACACTCAGAATATATTTCGACAACTTCAAATATAGAAGAAGTAAACACAGAACAAAACCCACTGGATTTCCCTGTATATATTCCCTCGACACAGTTACCTAGTGCCGTGGCTACAGAATCAAATTCTCTTCTGCCAGTGCACACTGCAGAAGCAATGGGATTTACTGAAGAAAAGGATGCAGAAAACAGCAGACCTGCATATATTCCTTTGACTCCAGAGAAAATAAGTTTGCCTGAAAAGGTAACAACAGCATCCAATGCTGCTGACTTGTCTAAGCCGGAAGAGTTCCATGAGGAAGTACCAACAGAAACAAGCTTTCTTGACTTGCCAGTCTGTATTCCTTCAACTTGCGAAACCAAGGAGTTTGCTAAAAAAGAATCTGCAGAGCCAATACAACCTGTCTTGACCCATGGTGCTCCGACAACTTCAAAATTGAATGCATTTTCTGTAAAGCCTAACACGGAATCAAGTTATTTGGCATCTCCAGCAGTACAAAAAGTTGAAACTGCGGTTGATTTCATAGCCCAACTAGCGGCTGAAAATCCCCTAGATGAAAGTGCCTTCTTGGATCTCTCGCCGGAAGAGCAAAGATTAAACGCTCTTTTCGGAGGCGGCGAATGTTGTTATATGGGTGTGTCGCCAGTCGATGAGCCTCAACAACCCCAAGAGGATTTGTCCATTGGGAAGATTGTTCAAATGGACAATATGAATATACTGCACGCCACTTTGGATGTACACAGCGATAGTACAAATGTACTTCGCATTAGTCCAAGTGCGGTGAGACTGCAAAGCAGCGTGGCTAAATTGGATATGTCATTGGCTGATATTGATGAGGTGGCTGATTCGGTTCTGGAGGAGAATAAAGTACAGGTTAACTTACCGGAGCAACCTGCTCAGGCTGCAACCAAACCAAGTGTAGTGAAATCTTTGGCATTTGAAAGTACAAGCGAAGAACCCAAAGGGGATGCTCGAAGTCCAGAGGTAACCACAACAATTTTGGCTGAAAATCCTAGTACGCAAAAAGAATTTGAAGTGCCTTTGGAAGAAATTAAGCCAGTGTCAGATACAGAGCCTGTACACGAGGTTAATCCCCCCGCAAAAAGAACAACTACCAGATCTAAGAGGGCAAAAATCAACTTAGTGCAACGCTCTAAAAGGCCGAGTATCCCAAAGACTTTTGAGGCAAAGAAAACTAGGCTAGAATTTGAGGAAGGCGATGATGAGGCGATGGCTATCGATCACAGCTTGCTGGAGGACCGATACGGAGTCACAGGAATAGAGGTAATACACAATTCTGATAGCCTAACCTCAGACAAAGTAAATCTTAATTTATCTAGTGTTAAAAACAATCCAAAGGTGCCAACAGATGAGAAGCAATGCGAAGAAGTCAGTAAGTCCAGTAAAGAAGTTCGAGTCGAGGAAACTTGCATAAATCCCCAGGAAGTACTTCAGATTTCAACGAAATCAACCACAGAACGTGATTTAACCCAGCTATATCATCCACCAAAAATGCCCAAAAATAAACCCAGTAAGAAGAACAGTGCGCAGGAGACCTTGGAGGATTCACAACCCACACCTTCATGTAGTAATGTCTCCCTCATAGATATCCTTTCTCAGGATGTACCACCGGCTCAGGGAGAAGCCCAGATACCATTTCGCAAGGAGTCTATAGAATTAAATTCCAATGTTAATAGGACGTCCGATATCACAGGAGTACAGAATTTGATTGGGCACTTGACTGCCGAAAATGTGACCCCACAATTCAAAAAGTTATCGCCAACGCCAAAATCAGAGGAAACATCGAAACCGATGACCCGCAAGAAACTTGTAAAAACAAGACCGATCCTCAGCAAGAGATCCTCAAAAGTTAGTCAGAAAGTTCAGAAAGAAAAGTCTAACCATTTTGAATTTCTCCATCCAGTTAGTGCAAATGTGGGAGGTCGCATTCCCACATCCAGCACTAGTGATGATGATGGTTCCATATTTCTGGGCTTCGATAACAAAGAGGAGAAGAGTTCTAAAACTCCAGTGAGAAGCAAGCGAGTCAGACAAATGAAGCTCAACGAAACGGACATAAGTGATGACGCAACTCCCGATTATGATGAGACAGAGGAAGAGCAGCAAAGTACAGAAAGACAGCCACAAGAGAAGAATTGTGAGATTGATACCCAGTTTACTACCAACAAACCTAAGGTTGTGGGAGCTTTTTCGGACGATTCAGATAGCAGCAGTCGTGGCCCTACCAGTCCAATGGATTTTGGGGATAACGTATCCATCGATGAAGACAGAGCGTGTGAAGTTTATCCGGTAAGGGAATCAACTAACTGGGAAAAACTTGTAAATGCAAGTGAACAAGTTGAAGATAAAAAGGACATAGGCACAAACGAGAAACAGGATTATCCTACAGAAACAGCAGTTAAATCTAAAGTAGATCGTTTAACAAAAACTGAGGATCCTCCCAAAATCGATGGCGGTATTAGTAACACGCATCTAGTAGAGGCACTTTCGAATGCTTCAGATAAGCATAACGATCAAAAATCTCAGACTTTTATGGAGGAAAATCAGAAAAAATCTGTGATAGGCAAACAGGATTCCACAATTAGTGACAGTAAATTAAGAAAAAGCACAAGAAAGTCAACCAAATCAAATGCCCCCTTTGAAGTGGATACTACAAATGAACCTTCCACAAGTAAAGATTGTTTAACGAATATAAGGACGAAACGGCAGACGAGAGGTCGTTCAATAACGTCAGGATCTTTGGATGATAGAGAACTAAAGGGAGTCCTGGAGGATGGTGATGCGGTCCAGAAACCAAATGTACCTTCAGCGTTAACAGAAAATTTGCATCATCTGGATTGTACAGAAAATTCAGATTTAAAGAAAACTGTGGAAAATGAAAAAGGAAAACCAAAAACAACTCAGCGCAAATCAGTTGAGTCAGAAAATACAGTGTCTAAGAACGTAGAGAATGCGGCTAAAGAAATCCTAGAAGATGTAAAAGATCCTGAGAATAAAAATATTCTATTAACGACAGGAGAAAATACGATTTTAATAGAAGATCAGCAAGGAGATCAAAAAACATCTGCGAAGTCAAAAGGAAAACGAAAATCTCGGAGTTTGGCGCCAATAATTAAAGTCACCCCCGCAACTCAACCGGATGTAGTTGCAAATACCCAACTAAAATCGGAGAGTAAAGTTTCTAAAAATCAGGAGGAAGAAAACTTGGAAAGGGTTAAACCTCCTGAAGAAGAAAATGTAAAACAGGAAGAGTCGAAGTCCGTTGAGGAGCCAGATACATCCTTAAAATCAAAAAGAAATCGTAAGTCGCGATGCACTACACCAAAAATTAAAGTATTACCTGATATTCAACATGAAGTGGGAACAAAACCGGACCAAACTTCTGGCATTGATGGATCCAAGGATGAAGAGGAACCTTTCACAGCTTCAGAGAAACCTTTTGTACATACAGAAAATGAATTATTTAATGTTCCAGGGGAATCCAATGATGATAAAAGTTGTATGAAGCCAAAAGAAAAAAGGCAGTCCCGATACAGTAGTATCAAATCCGTTTCAGCAACTCCCGCGGTTTCTGGCCCTGAAAAAACATCCGATCGTCTCATAACAGCTGTAAATAAAGACTCAACAGAAGATAGAGACACACTTAATGCTTCGGTGGATGCAACTCAAGCGGTCAATCCCAAACGAAAACGAAAATCCCGGAGTACCACACCAATGTTATTGGTTCCACCAGTTGTTAAAGCTCAAGAAATACTTGACTCAAGCAATTCGAACACAGATCTTCAAGAGAAACTGGAAGAGGTTAAAGCATCCGAGGAAGCAAACCTATCAACCACTTCTGTAAAAACTAAGAAAACACGACAATCTAGAAGTAGTACAGCGAAAGTAACAATTTCAGCAGTTACTCAACCCGAACCGGCTCCAAACCCTGAAGAAGATCTTGCGGAAATGAATGAACCAATAATACCTAAAAGGCAAAGAGGAAAACGACAATCTCGAATTTCTGTTAAATCCAATGTAACAGCTCCTTCTTCGACACCATCAGAAGAACCTCAGCCAGTGGAGGAGACTCGGGTCACACGAAAGACTTTTGGTTCAGTCACACCGGACACGCCTATCACTTCAGTTAATACCCCCAAAGATAAAGAAGATTCTGAGTCTGCGCCTACAAAAGGCGGAGGAAGTAATGCTAATAGTGTACCAGCAGATCCAAAATCACGTAAGTTGAGGACCTCAAATTTCAGTGAAATGATTTCACCAAAACATGAAGAGCCTAAAGTGCCTGCGAAAAGGGGAAGAAAGCGAGCTGCTCCTGTTGATACGGAAATTGAGTCGGCGAAAAAACTAAAGACTGATGAGGGTTCGGAGACAGTAAGCATAGTTGAATTCAATCTTCGCCTGCTGCTCATTCGAAAGCGGGAACAGTTGGACTCCGAAGAGGATTTAACAGAGAATGGCAAGGGTGAGGGTCCACTGCAATGTGGCTTGTGTATGAAACGCAGCGATAAGAAAAATTGGCAAACTCATCTGGGAGAGCACTATGGAGTGGGTTGGCCTATTGGAGACACCCCCAAGGTAGGTTTACATATAAATGCAATAAAATAAGTCTCTAATTTGAATCCTATTCACAGAAAATCACGCGTGCCTGGGTGATGACAATGATGAAGAACCATCTCCAAAATAGCAGCGAAAAGCTAATATGTCGCCTCTGTAATCACCAATTGGGAACCCCCTTGGGCATGTTGCTTCACCTGGAGGGTTGTGGCAATAAACAGCGAATTCCTTGTGATTTCTGCAATAAACTATATACTAAACTTTCACTACCGGGACACATACGAACCTGCCCAAAGCGCCACGTATTCCAGAATGAGGATGATCAAGAGCCTGCGGATGGAGATGTTGTTGAGACGGTATACAGCAATGCTGGCCGTGCCAAAAGGAAGTCCACAATCAAGTAAGTTCGTGAGAATTTCACAGGCATACCAAAAGTCATTAATTTTGAATAAGACTTATGTTCAAATTTAAACCAGGAAACTTAATTTCATATTAGAATGTTTCCATATTTAACAAACAACATTTTTTTCCAGGGCTGAAACAAAATTAAAGAAAATAGGACAGGAACTGACTTCACAAAAGACGGGAGAGGAGACTACCGCCAAAAACGACTTCGATGGCGATTCTTCTGACTATGATATGGCAAAAGACAATGAGTCGTCTGAGGAATATAATTCGGAAGGAGTCGATTCCAATGAGGACTCCTTAAGCACCGAAGATGAGGGAAGCCTTGCTGATAATTTGTCCACAACTAAACGAACAAAGACAAACGAACGGGGACATATAAACAGGAAAAGGAAAATAAATCGGCCAGTGAATACGGGAGAGAGTCAACAGAAACCTTGTGAGTAAAACTCTAAATATCAGTTTTATTCAAAACTAATACATTTTTGTATACTATAGTACTTTCACGATATCACCACTTGGAGGCTAGGGCGACCCACAAATGGAACGAATTGTAAGTGAACCAAAGAAACACAAATAATCCAGCAATATTAACATTCAACATTTCTTAAAGCGTGCAAAGCAATTATAAAGCTGATCCTTTGTTCAGTCGACTGTTGCCCAGATATTCGAAGGTTTCCACAGAGGAGTCTAATGGTTTGCTGCCCTCTAAGGAGACGACATCCATGCGCTATGCTTATGGTAATGTAAGCAAAGAAGACGATTGGAAACAGTTGGGACCATTTGAGGGTTTTAGCAAAAAAGGTATGTACAACTGAAAATACTTAAATTCAGATTTAACCAATGGTACTTTCTTTGGCAGGAGAATATGTGAGCTTCCTTGGCAGGCCTATTAAACAACTCGCCTGGGTCCCCCTGCCCCCGAAAATTGCGGATCAATATTTACTATGCTACCTGCGTCCAAAGATGAAAACTTATGCAAGGCATACAAAATTAAAGGATGAAGAAGCCCTTTTATTGTTGCTGAAATGTACGGTGGTATCGGACAAACCTGCTGATAAATCGTGGGGCCTACGCCCTGAGCTTCATTACGGAATTCGTGTACCCAATGGACCAGTTCACAGTTTCTGCTTTTTACCGAGCGGTGGCTACGATAAGTCATCCAATCGTTTGGGCCTTTTGGCTGTGGGAAATTCTTTGAGTGATGTCCACATTTATGCTTTGCCTTTGGAGCTGACGGAGGATAGGACTGCAGACGACAATGTTCTCATTCAATTGCAATCTATGATAACCCTTAGCTTGGATGTTAACAAACCCGTTCAGGATCAGTGCACTAAAATTTGTTGGTCTCAGGTAAGTTTTACATTTAAAATCATAAATAGCATATGCTTGTAGCACTGGGAAACTATAAATAAATAATAATAATAAAAATTAACCTTTTATTTACAGGCTTTGAACCACAATTTCCTAGCGACTGGCTATGCCAGTGGTAACATTGCATTTTGGGACATTGGTGATACGGATAGCATTAATTGTTTTAATCGGAATGATGAAACCTATTTTGCGCCTCTGAATTACTTTTACATAGGCGAGCGAAATGTCCAATGTAAGTTTAACTAATAAGGCTTATCCTAAAAAGCATTTCATATTTATTTGTTTTTTCTTTATAGTTATGGATATACATTATGACAATAACGGACCACGTTGGCTTGCTGTTGGCACTTCCATACGTCAATTTATAGTCTATGATATTGCCAATTGGTCGAAACCCGCTATACTTACACAAGACTCCATCTGCACACTATATATGGCTAATATGACTTGGTCTCCAATTTGTGAAACACTCGTCGTAAGCAGTTCACGTAAGCCTTTCTTTATTATTTGAAGGAATTAAAGTCTAAAAAGATATTATTTTTCAGATTTTACTCGCACAATAGCAGTTAGTCCATCGGGAATACAGTTCGAGCATAGGACCCTTGATGGAACTCTGACGACGACACGAGAAATGCACACGAATTGCCAACAGAATCACATGGTGTTCGTGACGGACAACGGCGATCTGGTTTTCCTGGATGTGCGAGATCTCAACTGTGGGCCCGCTCTGCTGAAATCATTAGTGAACAGAAGGGTCGTATCCACAACTGAGTTGCATCATCTAGGAGCCACTACTCCAAAGACTAAGGATCCAATCAGTGCGGATGAGTTTCTCCGCGACTATGGGGTGCAAATTAATCCCCTGGTCCCGGCGCCTCATAAAAAGAAGTCCTCATACCTGGACGCAAAGCGTCGACCGCAAAATGTACACACTTTGGCGCTGACCAGATTCAATTGCGTTCGTTGCAATTGGAATTCGCCCGCCCACACTTGGGTGGCCATGGGCGCAGAACATGGCCTGCTGCGAATACTTAATTTTGATCGAGATAAATTCTTTTAAAGAATATCTCGGAGACTTCACTCTGGCATCTGAAAGTCTTCTGAACAAGCAACATCTGAGATTATAACTTATTGTTTTACCCATAAGCTGATTAGTTTTAGGACTCGTCATAGGAGAATTATAATTTATATTTAGCTGTTGTAAAAATATATATATTATATATTTTATATGGAGTTATCGTAGTTTATAACGAAAAATACTTGCTTTGCAAATAAAGATTTCAATTTGTAATATTAAAATATATTTTGTTTTATGGGTAGTAGAAGTTAATTGCCAATAAAAGGCATTTAAATTATTCATATAATCATCCTCAAAAAGCCAGCTAAAATCCCAAACAATTAAAAATGCTTTTTTACAACATATTAAATATATTGATATATTTTTTACTTTTATCGGTAATATTATTTTCCGTAAATACTATATGCAAGTTTAACAATGATAGACGGGGTTTTCTTTATAGCTTTCAGCGATTATAAAATATAATTCAAATATCGGATGTAAAATTATTAAAAATAGTGTGTATGTTTATTTCATTTTTATTAAATAAAATATGAACCCCTGTCGCTAACTTGGCGTAAATAAATAAATTGGCAAAAAGGCGTGGCTTACAACATAAACGGACGATGCTAAGTGAATCGACTGAATGCTTCTTGAAGTTTAGACCCAAACAGCTACACATATATATATAGTTCATATACATAGACATTCATATAGTACAAATAGATTAAGAATTATCGAACAAATGCTTGCAAACACATTAAAATATCGAACAAATGCAAATATGCCTTAAAATTTTGTAAAACAGAATTCGTTGGTTGAATGAATTACACTAAATAAGCATACATACATTATATGGATATATATATAGGTATATATGTTTTTTCTTACATTGCTGTTGTCTTTTCTATGGCTGCAAAAGCAGGCCGGTTAACATTGTGTTAACAGTGGCTTTACATTTCTTGCGGCTTTTCTGCAGTTGACCTTCAGTCTTCGCTCTTAGTTATAGTTTGCTGCAATTTTCCTCTTTTTATCTTTACAATCTGAATCTCTCGCTATGCCTAACCGAAAATCTATGCGAATATTAAATTCTATAAACAAATTCATACATCGAAAACGCAACAGGATGCGAACCTAAATCAAACATAAATTAACAGCAAGTTAACAGTGATTTCCGGTGCATTTTTGGGCTTCCGGTTTCCGATTTGGGCTCCTCAGGACAAAATGGCCCAATTACTTCTCGGCTTTGTTGTCGGAAGCGGCTGAAGGATTCGACCGATTGCCAGCCAGTTCCAGCTGGATCTCGTTGAGACTCTTGCCCTTGGTTTCCGGGACGGCAAAGAAAACGAAGAAAACTCCCACAACCGTGAGGCCGGCAAATAGCCAGAAGGTTCCACCGATTCCCATGGCTTGGTTCAAGTCCTCGAATGTCTTGGTCACCACAAAGGCGAGCAGCCAGTTGGATGTTCCGGCCAGCGATCCAGCGAATCCCTTAATGTCGGTGGCGAACAGCTCGCCCATCATCAGCCATGGAACCGGTCCGTAGCCCATCGAGAACATGACAATAAAGATGCACAAACTGGCCACTGGGAGCCAGCCCAGACTCACCACTTTTGTCTTGTCCACACCCTGAAGATAGAAGTACACTCCGATAGCGGTGGTGGCCAGGGCCATGGAAGTTCCAGAGGCCAGTAGCAGAATGCGGCGACCCAGCTTGTCCACCACCATGGTGGAAACAAGAGTGGCCACCACCTGCATGATTCCGATTATGATTGTTGCCCACTCGGCTCCAATGCCAGTATTGGCTTCCTGAAATGGACGAAATTGGTGAATTATTAATTTATTCTTAATTACATAGAGGAAGTACATATGGCAAAAGCAACACAATTTAAAATCCCTTTAATATATAAATTTTCTTTAAATTAAAATAACTATTTTGGTCTGGATTTTTTTAATCGTTCTCAAAATTATTTTGATTTAATTTAAAATATTACGATATTGCATTTTTTCAAATCTCGTTAATGAATATACTCATAGAGGAGCCATCCATTTTCAGTACAGACCCATTCCAAACTCACCTCAAAGATCCTCGACGAGTAGAAAATAACCGCGTTGATGCCACACACCTGCTGGAAAAACATAAGACCCATGCTGATGGCCAAAGCCTTGCGGGTGACGGGTCGGTTCAGAGCAGCCCACACATTGACCTTGTTTGCCTTGGTTTCCCGATCGGTTTCACGCAGTTCCGCAAGTTCTGGCTCATAATCGTACTCCTTGCCACGCAGCCATTGAATGGACTTAATGGCGTTCTCCGACCGATCTTTGGCAACCTGTCGATAGGGATTTACAAATTAGACGCTTGAAAAGAAATGTTTGCTTTTGATGGGAAACTCGTGGTGCTTTTCATATCTTTTAGATATACCATTTTGGGGTTGCCCAAGATAAATTATTGATTGACTGGCAGATTATTTCTACTAATGCTACTTTTTAAGGCATTATGAACATTTTAATACTAGACAACAACATTTTTTTTTAAACATTCTTAAGAATTGCGGTAATTTCTTAAAATATGTATGTATTTATAGTATTATTTGAAATTTAACTTAGCTTGGATTGATTATAATTTAAAAAAATGGATAAATATTATAAACCTAACTTGATAAACTTTACTTAGTGAATATTTTTAAGCATTTTTATTTTAAATTAAATAATTTGCAATCTTACCAAATAGGTAGGCGATTCCGGCATGAAGAAAAATATGGCGCCAAAAACGAGGGGTAGAATGCCGCAGATGCAGCTCACCCAGAAAATATCCAGACCGGCTCCGATGGCGTAAACGAACAGGATACCAATGGTTATCATCAGCTGGAAGAAGCTGCCGAGTGTTCCGCGAATTTCCTTCTGGGCAATCTCACCCGTGTACATGGGAGCAGTCACACAGAAAGCACCACCGGCGATACCCAGGATAAAACGAGAGGCATACAGCATACCAACATTGGCCGCCCAGATGAGCATGGCCCAACCAAGGATGAAGGGCAGAACCAGGAACAGCATGGTCCACTTGCGGCCAATCAGATTGATAAGGAAACCAATGGGAATGCACACACAGGCGGCACCCAACGTCATCGCCGATCCCACCCATGAGAACTGGCTTTTATCGACGCTGAAATCGTATCCCTGGCCACGATCCACGATCTCCGTTTGGGCCGGAGATGTCCAACCCAAGAGGGTACCGCAGGCGAAGGCGCCTCCAGCTGCTGCCAATGCGGCCACATATTGCGGCAATTTCCGCGAATTGTTCGACGTCGACGTGTGCACCATGTTGCCGAGTAGATTCTCGTGTTCCTGCAAAGGTGAATTAGATTTGGTAAGTAAGTTTCTCACTAATTATTACATTTTCATATTTAAAAATTAAAATTGTTGAATTATATTGCTATTTAATCTGTTTGTTTTAAAGTCTTTCAAGTCCACTGTACTTTTTAATAACCTTTTAATTCATTTTTTTAGAAATAAGAAAATAATATTTAAGAAGTTAAAACAGAACTCATATAGAAATTATTATTCTGTTAAAATTTAAACTAATTTCGATAAATATTTCTAGACTTTCTTTGAGAAATTTACCTTTCCCAACTCTACGGAGATCGCTGTTAATTAGATCGTTCTGCTCTGGCCAACTGACTTGGACTGAGGGCCAGCTATTAGCTACCTACAAGTATTATCAAGCCAGGGGTTGTGATAAGGTCCGAACCCCCCGCCCAGTGATTAGGACATTTATTGGCAGGCCGATAGTGGGTATTCCGTTAAATGGCCGTGCACCCATATTTATTGCAGTCTCCCGGCCCCAAAAAAATAGACCCCGGGTATGCTTTCCTCTTTCCGATTGTGCTTAAGTGCTTCATTATTTCATTATGCCGTTCACATAAACAGAAGTCGCCCCAAATCGAATCAAGTTCACGCACACTCGCTACCCGATATCATTCATACGCCTAGTGGTCCGGATCATTATGCTTGGGACAGGCAAATCCCTAAAAACCCCTGTAGAATTGGTGAAAATATTTGATGTTTATGATGCCGCGTGAGCACTAAACTTAAGACAGTGAGGAGAGTCTTATAAGCGTAAATTGATAATATAAAGCCTTAAAATACTATTATTATGTTCATGTGTTTCCACTTGAAACTTTTTAGGACCAACACTTGATCAATGAAACTTCTTGGACTTAATCTGAAAGAGTCTGAGATAAGGTATAGATTAAGTGATTGGAAATTACCTAATTAAGCATAAATATTTTTTTTTGAGATTCCATCAAGTAGGATAGGGCTGTATAATACCACTATATATTAGAATATAAGATCATTTAAGACTACAAGAAGATAATATGAAATATAACTTGATTAAATCAAAATAAGCCATGAATTTCGGCCAGTCACTTTGGTTTTACACTTTTAGATATTTCTCAGCAAAATTCCATTCCCCTTCTATTTTCGTTCCTCTTCAAGGCGTCAAAAATCACTCATGCAGCACCAATTAACTATATTCGACCACCCTCTTAGCCATACTCATTGACTTCCGTTCAAAAGCCCATAAATTACTATATAATCGTTAGGTGTAAATAGCAATGGTTATCGCATGCCTAATCAGTAAATTGCCGAAATTCCACCTGTAAGAGAATCAGCCGGCTATATCGCAGCTTTACGTATCAAAAGCTTTTTCAAAGATATTTTCATGTTTATAAACAGAAATGAGGATATGCGATTGGTGCTTTATTGCCTGCGAATAAAAGGGGTGTGCCGATTTTGTTTGAATGGCGAGCTTGTATCTATATTGATTTAACTTGACCTTTGACAAGAAGTCCTATGATAGGCTAGAACAATTGTGTGGTCCTTAGTTGTAGTTGTATACATACTTATGTTTTGCAACTTCTTACTGATAATTAGATATTTTAAATTTAATAATATTTTCGCAAGGTTTAATTATTACCAAGCTAAAATTACTTTGCTTATCGCACGTTTTGTACGAGATTTGAGCTTTTTTCGCCGATTAAAAAAGAAGGCTTGTGCTTATTGCTTTTGCTGTATAAAGGGCTGGTATTTCTGTAAGAAAAACATTTTACAATTTTATCTATTTTCATTATTTTGCCTTTAAAATAATTCTTAAATTCCCATTGGCATTTACTAATAAATCTTTCTGCAATTTATGCTTTAATGTCGAAAAGGGGGCCAGTCCTGGTATTAGCTTTCCTTCTATCTAACTTATAATTTTATATGTATGTATTTGTAAGATATTAAATATAAGTATGTCCATAGTAATTGAATGTGTAATTACTTCTTTTATAACTGCAAAGACCGTCGTAAAAGACATTTCGCATGGGACATATTGGTAATTTATGGCCATTTTCTCTTCGCCTATTACTTGTTTTATCCCATGTGTCGTCCGCCCACTTGATAAGCCCACTCAAAGTGCCATTGCCAATCTCGACCCACGCCAACCAAAGGAGTAGAGAACAAATCACTTCCGTGAAAATGCAAGTCCAGAGTTGCAGCTGGAAAAAGGAGGAGGAGAAGGCCATGTGGAACAGGGCGTACGCCCACATATTAACTGTCATTTTACTGGGGCCGATGGGACACACCTCCAGATTGCCAGTCGAGAGTAAACGAAGCGTCAAATCGCGTCTGAAACGTCTGAAATCGATATCTGACTCGATTCTGTGTGCCTTGGTTCGTTTTAGTTCCGTCTGCGGCTGATGTGGTCAATCCATTGGCTGCCTGTCGTTCGGTGTCTAAATTTAGCAATACTGCCAGTTAAAGGCAGCTCTAGGAATCCGAGTCCCCCACTTTCGGGTGCTAAAACCCCGCCACAGCAAAGATGTAAACTGCGTGAGCTAGGTCCAAGTTCGTTTCAATGTCAGTGCCAGGCGCAACAGTGCGCGACATGAGTAGCATGGTAATTTCATACGTCCCGTGGCATTCCACTAAACTGGTTCACTATAAGCAAAGCATAAGCCAATTCCAATCAAATTTTTCATAACTATTGAGCTGTCTTTGCTAATTTATGTACAATAATCCCGGGCTATTAGCAATAACATTTGCATAGGGGCAATTCGAAAAATTCCTGTTACATTTTCTAAAGAATAACTCTATATTATGGGAAAATTTGTATACGTATTTTCCTGAGTGGTTATTTATAAAATTTACAATATCTCATTATCATAATGGAAACTTAGAATACTAATAGATTAAACTATCTTTAAATGGCATGAAATATAGACGTATATTGTTATTATTATATGTATTTAAAATGAACTATAGTTTTGGAAGTTAGAGAACAATGGAAATTTAGAGTGATTTGTTACACCCTTTCTGAAAATTGAGATCACCTTTCGATAACTTGGAGCTTAAAAGACTCTTTTAAATAATTCCTAACATACTCAAAGCATTGAATAGGCATTATTTAAATTTTCAATGATGTCTTAATTCGGTGGTTTAAATAATACATAACGAAAGTGAAAACAGCTTAATAGCTTCAGACATATAAAAAAAACTTTATGGCAAATCGTTTAGGTATCTCATTGATATTCGAAAAATGTGCCATACTATGTTATCGAACTGTTCGACTTTTCATAATTTTGTGGGTCGCATTTTAAAATGTTTTTAAATGTTGGTCATACAAATTTGTTGTTGGGAGTATTTCAGTGTTCGTAGAGGTACAGCATTTTTAATGATTTCGAAGGGGTGCCACAGTTAATGCGAACGTTATTTTTACTAAAATAAACATCCACAAAATTGTTGACTCATTTTGTGTAGTCGGTAAAATGAGTTTCAATTGAATTTGTCTGGTAAATTATCATTTATATGTGGAATTTTCAAAAAAAAAATCCGTATCATGCTTATTGTTATTATAATTTCTCTCTCCTGGGAATTTGAGGTACGCCCCTATTTTTTAAGTGCTCACTTATCTTTTTTTTGTTTCGTTAAATCAGTTTCCAATAGATAATGATTTGTATTTCATAGTCTTGTTTCGGCGTTTGTGACCTTGTCCAACATAAAAACCAAATAAAAATAGAAAGCTTCCACATCGGTTTGTTATTTATGAGGTTGATAAGTTCTGCGATCCATCAACGAGAACTAAGCTTCATGAGTGTAGGAAATATTTTCGGATAAGCTACTGTATTCAAGATAAAGGCCACTAAAAACACAAAGCATAATTGTGTTATAATTGCTTATCGTTAAAAATATGTTAAGCGGAAATGATGTATACAAGGTATTTGAACTCGTGCAGAGAGAAAAACAAATGTTAAATTGTTACTCTCATTTTGCTTTTTGTGTTCGGTTAATAGAGATAGCTTTTGGAGTGAAAAATACACATTTCAGTCTGATAATTGCCTGGTAAACTATTTATATCTCATATCTTTTTAGCGGCAACATCTTTCGCCTTTCAGCTACACATTTACTTTACCAACAGTTGAGATTGTTTGCTTGTTTTTGGCTTCCAATTGGAAATACTGCCCAGTTTTTGAATGCTCTAACTTTGAAGAAGCCCTATAATTTTATTCGTTTTATAGATAGAGTATCTTTACTTCGAGTTTTTTGGAATTTGATTTCCTGTTTCGTTTTTCCTTATTTCGCACTGCGTTAATTGGACTTTCGCCATGGCTTTTACCAAGGTCATTATCAAAAGCTGCATTAACTTGGCTAGCCAGCTGGCCAACGTAAATTAACTTAAGTAAGCACAGGAAAAAATAACAAATAAATTGGTCGTTAATTTCGGATTTTTTAAATCTAATTTCAAAATATATCATTATAACATTGGATTTTAATTGATATAAAAAGAGAAATTGGGAGAATCTTTAGATGCAAATGCAAATCAATAAATAATATTACAAATATGCAAATATATTACAAATTTCAATATCCAACAAAAATAATTTCCTTTGATTTGATTTAAAATATTTTTATAATATATTAACCTTAAATAATAATATAGGAGCAATTTGGGAATTTTTTCTCAGTGTTCATATCTATGAAAATTTGTGTATTTTTTGCATACATGTGGGGTGGAGCTGGTCCGTCCATTGTCGCTGCCTTTGACGATTTTGACCGCTTGTCTGGAGCCGTATTTGGCACCATTTTCGGCGGATTCCAGCAGGTGGGAGCTCTCTTCATTGTTGGAGCCGGGCTTTTTGGTGGCCTCCTCGCCACTGGAGTTGCTTGAAGATGCGGTGGACATATCGAGGGGATTATGTAAACTTCGGTAGGGTTATAGTGTTACGATGGGGATATGTTTTCTATATTCTTCGATAATTTCCTGTTTACTTTCTACTGCTTTTTTCACTTTGCACTTTGCACACTTTAGCTGGCGATAAAAAGTTGTTGAATAATACGCCAACTTCTGGCGAATGTCCTTTAACTTGCGATTTTGTCCTTTAACACGTCGGCCACCCACGTAGCATAGATATTCTTTAAGGCGCATGCGCATCAACACTCAAACATGTTGCTGGCCAAAAAATTTCTTTTTGGTTTTTCTTTGCACTCCTAATTAGCCAACCAACTAAGTGATATGGTATGAATTTTTCAAAAGATATATATTTTTATTTGGATATGTATCGGTGATGATATGCTCGATTCCACACACAACTTTTGGTGGCACTCGCGTGTATCTTTCTTAGCGGGGAGTATCTTTGTATCTTAAACCGCACGCAACGAAGGTTGGCTAGTAAATGGCGGGCCAAACAATAAAAAAGGCCTCCGCCGGGCTCTATGTGGATGTGGATTCGCCGCTCTCCCAGTTCCCCGAATTCTCTTTTGAATTCTCTCTCTCTCTCTCTGTTGGGCCTCGGAAAACTGGTCCCGCTCTCCATCTCCAGCGACTATGGGCATTGAATGGGTCCCGGGGTGAAGACTATATCCATATGAGGCTATTGACTCTTGGCGGCAAAATCCAAACTGGAATTGCAGGCGACTTCGTTCCTCAGATTTTTATTTCGGATCGTCGGGTTTTCTTGCGTTCTGCTTGAAATTGCATTCAACCCGGCGTGGATGTGGATGGGGATGCAACTTTCGTTGCACAGCACATGGAGGCCATCTCCTGGGTTTCGGCTTGTTGCTTCTGCCTTTCCATTAATTCAAGGCAACGCAAATTTATGCATCTGCAATTGATCTGCAAATTTACTGAATGCCCTTCGCAATGGAAGATTTTAGCTCTTCAAGGATATTTTAATGTCAATTTCATCATTTTTTTTCGATTGAGAACTTTGGTAAAGATTATTTATATGAAGCTACTTCCAGCCATAGCTCAAGTGGTATATTTCTCAATATATATATTAAAATAATTATACAATTTATAAATATTATTTACTATTTAATTGTTTATTGTTGAATAATTTAAGTAAGCATTCAACATTGATAATAAAATCTTTAAGCACCTACATTTATTTTTATAAATTACTCGTGAAGATTAAATTAATTTGTTAGTCATTTGTTAATAAAATAAATCATGCTAAAAAGTAATTGACATAAACGAAGTTCATATCACTGGAATATTTTCATAGTTAAATATAAACGTTTTCCTTTTTGCATGATTTGAAAAGCTAAAAGCAATATAATTTCATTTATTTTAAAATTTAATTTTAAAGTAATTTAATACAAATTATTTTAAAATGCACCAGGCATTTTAGTAAATCGACTTAATGTTCTTAATAAATGTATCCTATTAAAACCGAATGTGTAATGGTTAAACAATACAATGTATTTGTTTATTAGATCGTAGAACTGCAAAGGAAATTAAAATATACTATGTAGTTCCCCACGTGCCACATTCTGTTTACTGCACTTCCGTATGCACAGAAAGATTATAAAGAAATAAGGCAGCCGAACAAACGCACCATCAGAATCGGGTATTCTTGTGTCTACAGATATTCATAGATATTTTTGTGCTGCTTGTTCGATTTGTAGAATTTCCATTATCATTTTCAATTCCATTTGCCCAGGCGAGGAACACTATTTGCCTAGCTGCGAGTACGTTCAATGGATCACGTTTGTTGTGCGGCTAAAAAATGCGACTGCCACTGAGCATAATGGATTGCCTCTTACGGTGGCTCATAGCTTATTGAAATGAGCATTTCCATGCATTGGGACTTTTCAATTACAAACATGACACAGCTCCGAGCTAAAAATGGGTCAGATAATGAGTATACGCATTTAATATCAACACGAGAAAGAGCCTGAGGGAATTTTGTATGGAAATTTTGTGCATACAAATGCTTTATAAATAAGAACGTGAAATTACTTTTAAGTGAAAGGTATTTATATTGATACCTCACAGGCCATATTTTATAATTTATTCATACACGTGGGTAATTTGAAGAAATATCCAGACGTAAAAAAAGCTTTTTATACAGGGATAAAAATATTTTAAAATAACAAATATGTATTAAAAAACAATTGCATGAAATATTTAAAGTAACATATTTATTTTTTCCGTTGAACAGGTTTAAAAGCATAATAAATAGTTAATTCATTTTAAATGTAAAGACTACTTATTTGGAAGTATTTAAAAATAAAAATGCTTGATTACAGCATTTATGTTTTCACTGTATGTACTTTAAAAGTTTCTTCTATGACCTTGTTCTAAAGAAATCCTGTTATCGTTGTGTGTACACGCTTTTCAAACACCCTTAGCCTTGTCCCTGCTCCCATTAACCCCCCACCGGCCAGAGGGGGTCGTTAACGCAGCACTAGCGGGACTTGAAATACAACCAAACATTTGGCACGCTCCACGTCTGGAACAGGCTCGCAGAGCGCCCAAAAGCAGGCTCACCTGCTGCGAAAGCGTTTGCATAGATATAGATACAGAAAAGGAACTGCAACTACAGAAAGTATCTGTATCTACACCTAGAACACGCAATACTCGGTGTATAAAGTGTACACACTAATTACATGGGGAAAGGCCAAAAGGGTAAAATTAGTCGACAAAATGATAAAATACCGGCATTATGTAAGAGAAAGCTCATTAGCATTGGGCCAAGTTGACATAGGCCCTGGAATTTGAGTTGGGTATATGAGTTCTACGTTCTACTACGTCAGCAGCTACTACGTCACGCAATCATGTATCTGATAGATACGTTGCTTTTTAAATGGGCGTGCGCTGTGTGACGTCAGAGCAGCCAAGCCCCACAAATCTCGACCAATCAGCAATAGCGCAGAACGAGCCTCTCGCATGCAAAAAAACTAAATAAATAAGTACGTATGTAACATTCATGTCTGTTTGTCTGCGCATAAATGTAAATATTTTATTTTTCTCTGCAGTTGCTTTGCTTGCTGTTGGCCCACGAAAATCACGCGATTTGGTTGTTGGTTCAAGTGCAGCCACCAAATATTTCTGCTGACCCACCATAATCACCCGCAAGTCAAACCATTGCATTGTTTTTTTTATCCACGACCTACATTTGAACTTGTGACAGGGCCAACATGATGTAAATAGCTCCGAATTTGATAAATTCTTTTTGAGCACCCACAAGCAGGGCCCAAAATCAATAATTCGTCCTCGACGACGACCTCAAGGTGAAAGTATCTAGATACATTTTGGGCCACAAATGTGGGTGCCATATCCACGGTCAAATAAATGTGTACTGGGGCATGCAATTTCCTAGGAAACTGTTGACATTTTTTTAAATGATTTATACTTTATGGGTTTTAAAAAAAATAAAAGATTCGCTGCAGTAAATTTAAATCTTAATTTTAGGTCAATGCCTTGCTTACATAGTACAATTTCAAAAAGTCTTGTTTATTTTATTGTTTCATTTATTTTCTTTGTTTTCTCACAATTAACAATCACAGATTGCGAACAAAAATTGCGAATTCTTTAATAAAAACGGTAATTTTTCAAGTGTTGGCAAAACAAAATATACTATTAAAGAATAGTTTTTAAATTTAAATTGAAATTAAAATTCTCAATACTTAAGTAAGTATATTACTTTATTTAAGAATGTTCAGTTTTAAAAATATATCCTAACGGACCAAAACTTGTATTAATTAAAAGCTTTCCTTAACAAAAAGCTTTGTTCCTACATTTCGAGTTGTAACAATAACTCTCAAACTGTGGATTTGAAATGTGTTAAACAAAACTGTAGCAAAATGAGTGTCAAACAATGGAAGAAAACGTTAGCAAATAAAAATACAAATATTTATACTTTATCGAAAAGAGTATTGTTGAAACACTTGTTTCATTTTCAGTTTTCATTTTGTTGTTTGAGTGATTCACAAAATTGATAAAGTTCAGAAGAAGAATATTATAAAAGATCATCATTGCACTTCAGGAAAAGCCCACCTTTGTTGTAGTATTTTTTTTATAATAATGCTTAAAAATACATTTCTTTTAATTTAAAATGACCTACAAGTCAGTAGGTATTTTTAAATTGATTTATTAGATTTTCTAGTTAGCTTACAAATGCCTTAACCCATATAAGAGTCAATGTGTATTTTATCTGAATAATGTATAAAGCCTTATCAGTCACCCAAATAACATTCCTAATTTACTGCCAAAAAAGTATTGAATGGCTATAACCATCGATCAAATTGTTTATGTGAGTCAGACAATCAGGAAGACAGCAAAAAGAAACGTGAAGGTGGACATGTGGGGGGTGCTTTTATCTCTTATCCTTATCACCATGAAAATTCGTACACACATGAAGCTGCATCGTGGCGATATTGTATCCACTTCCCATAGGGGGTATTTCGATATCGGGAATTGGGCTTATCATCCGACCTTATCGCACTTATGTCACCGCTGATGTATTTTGACTGCCAAATCGTTTTACGACCCCCATCGAACCAATAGATTTCCATATCACACCATTAAAGATATGGTTCACGTTAAGTTTTGAAGTATTTATGTGCAGCCACAAATCGCAGACCGAGTGCATTATTGATCGGTCACTATAAGTATACGGTCACAAAAATATTTGATTGACAGCTTGTAGAGCTATATTTAGCTATAAATATGTCAGAAGACCAGAGATCCCATAATATTTTCCAATTCGAATGGGGAACTGGCGCCGAACACACCCCCACATTATTATCATCGTCACAATTACCACACGCAGCGCAGCCTTAACAAGAGATTTCCTTATTAAATTCAGTAAAAAGCGAAAATATTTTAAATATCTGGGCATCGCCGGTCTACCTAGCTGGGAATTTATTAGTGCCAATTGAGCGCACTTTACTTTGATTAAAAGAAATCTTTATGATCTGCTTGCGCTCAGATAAAGAAATAAAAACATTGCAAGAAAAGTCATACCAAAAGATATAGCTTAGCACGATCAGATTTGACAGTTAAATGGATTCCGTAACTTTTAAGGTGAGTAATAGGAAATATATCCTATTATAGAAATATCTTAAGAGAGCAGTAGGGAACACTTGAACTCTTAAAATATTTTTATAATTGATGTTTAAATTTCAAGATCCGATCACATTTAATAAGGGAACTTTCGAATAGAACGATCTTTAGTTTAGTACAATTTATTAAATCACTTGCACATGCCAAAACTTTATTGTAGATAAGTTTAACATCACTGATCTTAAGTATTTAAAGATCTTAGTTTAAAGTACATTTTCTACAGAAGTTCACACATATTGCTTATGAACTCAAGTACCTTTTTTTTAAAAAGTTACAGCTTATCAACTTTCACTGTATTAAATTCTTCAAGATCGTCGTT